ATGCCAAAAACAGTAACAACAAGTCTCATAATGGAGATGTTACTGGTGCCTACTCGAGCAAATTGATGAACAGTGGGAGGACAGTGCTACAGTGCTACATTATATGTTATTATATTGATAATAATTATTATATATTAATATTATTATACAGTATAATATACAATATAATGTATAATATATTAATATTTGCTCGAGCGGGCCCAGTAATGTCTCCATTGGAGACTTTGTTGTTACTGTGTCTGGCATATCGATAGCACAGCGGTAGGGCATTCGCCTTACAAGCGGCCAACATGGCCGACCCGAGTTCGATTCCTCCGCCCCTCTCGGAGAGCCCGGCAAGCTACAGAGAGTATTCGATATGCCAGACACAGTAACGACAAAGTCTCCAATGGAGACGTTACTGGGCCCGCTCGAGCAAATCGACGATCAACGGGAGGGCCTTTACTTTTACCTTTTATATTAATATTATTATTATTTTTAATATATTAAATTTTTCTTGGGATGGCAGCCAGCAGATGAAATAGTGACATTCCAAGAATCAAAGATCACCTTGCCCCTAGCATGGAAGACAGGACTTATGGCCCACCTGGACAGGGAGCCACCAGGCTGCATTCCATGCTTCCTCACATCCATCCCCTACAGATAACAGGCCAGACCAAGCACACTGGTTCCACTGGTCTCTGCTCCCTTCTCCTCTTTTCCCACCCAAGACAAGTTAAAAGTCCCCTTAATCCCTCCCAGAGTACAGCTCTACCCCAGTCTCATCAAAGGTTTGTAGGGGAGTGCACCCCAATAAATTTCTTCTATTTTCTTCACTTTTATTTGTCTCTGTGTCTATCTGTGTTGGCTGAGATCAAAGATATTTCTATCTATCTATCTATCTATCTATCTATCTATCTATCTATCTATCCCTTGCTGTCATTTTATTTAGAGAGATGATCAAATTTCTAGGAGACAGTATAGAATGCTGTTCTATAGAAATGAGATCACATTTTGACTTTTATGGTATTTCTCCATCTCTAGATCTGAGTCACTCCCATTTTCTTTGGGAGAAAAGAAGCATCTTCCAAAAAATGTTTATGTATCCTTCAATTCTGGCCATCTTTCAACACAATGATCTAGAAGTATCTTTATTTATATAAAGTTCTAACTCCATATCTTCTAGCTAGATTAAAAGCAATGAACAAATTCAGTTAAACTGGGCCAGAGAGATAGTACAGTGGGTAGAGCAGTTGCCTTCCTTGTGCCCGACTGAGTTTGATTCCTGGTATCCCATATGGTCCCCGAGCACCACCAGGAGTATTTTCTGAGTGCAGAGTGAGGAGTAACCCCTGATCATTACCAGATGTGGCCCCAAAACAAAATCAAATAAATTTGGTTACTCATCAATGAGATATACCAGACCCAATTCTGCTCTATTAGGGAAAAAGAGCAATTTAACCTAGTTCAAGTTGCAGGGCCCCAGTGACTGTCAAAGATATTAATCAAACAAGCAAGCCAGATCTTGCAAGATTTGTGAAAGGTAGTTAACAGTATATTTTTACTATACTAGGAGAAATCTTAGGAGTTTTGTTGTTGTTGTTTGTTTGTTTTTGTTTTTTTGAGTCACAGCCAGCAATGCTCAAGATTTAATCCTGGCTCTGCACTCAGGAATTACTCCTGGTGGTGCTTGGGGGACCATATGGGATGCCGGGGATTGAACCTGGGTTGGCCGTATGAAAGCAAACATCCTACCTGCTGTACTACTGCTCCAGCCCGAAATCTTGGTTCTTTGTATGTGGTTTCATTCATCAAATTTTCTAAATTCTCTACAGAAAAAAATATACTGCCTTAGAAAAACCATAGACTACCATCTTAAAACCTATCTTTCCTGCAGTCTCATCCGAAATGCCTCTCTCTGAAGTCCTACCCACCCCCTCAAAAGCCCATATAATTTTTCCATCTGAATTGAAGACTGTGCCTGTGGCTCTGGCCTCTGCTGTTTCCCCCCATACTGAATGCTAGAGAACTTCACTTGTTTATACCCTGGCCCGGAGTTCACCAAGAAGGAGCCCCTTTCCTCTGTTAGCTTTAGGGCCTGGTCTACAGAGGACAGAGGTTTCTACATCCCTAACATCTCTGTGTTGCTGCCTGACACTCTCTCAATAACCAGCTTCAGAATTTGAGGTGCCAAGTATTCCAGCCTGATAAACCCTGGAGAAATCACCCTGAGAAAATTAGCTAAGCATGTCTGTTTTTCTGGCCAGAAAAACAGGAGAAAGCCACCTACCTACTATGACATTTCTGGTGATGGGTGGACAATTCCAAGCCTACTGTGGCTTGTGGACACTGAAAACTAATGTGCCATATTTTCTTCATGCCAAAAACAAACAAACAACCCCATCCAAACAAAAGCATAATAATAACAACAAAAACCCTCCGAGTTTCTCACAGTCCTTTCTTTCTCTTTTCCTTCCTTCCTTCCTTCCTTCCTTCCTTCCTTCCTTCCTTCCTTCCTTCCTTCCTTCCTTCCTTCCTTCCTTCCTCCCTCTTTCTCTCTTTCTTTCTTTCTTTCTTTCTTTCTTTCTTTCTTTCTTTCTTTCTTTCTTTCTTTCTTTCTTCCTACCTTTCTTTCTGCCCTTCTTTCAGCCTTGCTTTTCTTTCTGCCTTTCTTTCGACCTTTCTTTGTTTCTTTCTTTGTTTCTTTCTTTCTACCCTTCTTTCTGCCTTTCTTTCTTTCAGCCTTTCTTTCTTTCTGCCTTTCTCTTTCAGCCTTTCTCTCTCTCTTTCTTTCTACCTTTCTTTCTTTCTCTCTCTCTCTCTTTCTTTCTTTCTTTCTTCCTTTCTTTCTGCCCTTCTTTCAGCCTTGCTTTTCTTTCTGCCTTTCTTTCGACCTTTCTTTGTTTCTTTGTTTCTTTCTTTCTACCCTTCTTTCTGCCTTTCTTTCTTTCAGCCTTTCTTTCTTTCTACCTTTCTCTTTCAGCCTTTCTCTCTCTCTCTTTCTTTCTACCTTTCTTTCTTTCTTTCTTTCTTTCTTTCTTTCTTTCTTTCTTTCTTTCTTTCTTTCCTTTCTTTTCTTTCATCGCCACACCAGGCGATGCTCAGGGGTTACTCCTGGCTCTACACTCAGGAATCACTCCTGGTGGTGCTTGGGGGACCATATGGGATGCCCAAGGATCAAACCTGGGTCAGCTGTGTGCAAGGCAAGTGCCTTACCCACTGTACTACCGTTCCAGCCTCATAGCCTCATTTCTTGTAACTCTTCATTTGCTAATTTTTATTCCTGACACAGCCTCTAGTTCACAGCATTAACGAACTATCTTCCAAGATGACATTTATTCAGGTATTATAGGAGTTGGAAGCAAAAGTCTTAGTATGATTTAGAATGCAAGGAAAGAGCCGGAGCAAATAGTACAGTAGGTTGGTTACTTGTCTTGTACGCTGGCAACCTAGGTTCGATCCCCATTCAGATGTTTCCATCCCAAGTCCTAAACCCTGCCCCCAAAGCAGAACCAAAATAATTTATTTTGTACTGTTATGAACAATCCGCAAAAAATGATATGGGGACCAGTCACTGCAAGGAGTAACCCCTGAGCACAAAAAAAAAAAAAGAAAGAAAGAAAAAAAGAAAAAAGAATGCAAGGATAAAATAGAGGAATAGTGACATAAATAATGTAAATCATAATCTGCATATTGGGAATAAATTTGTTGACTTGTGTACATCTTAATGATGTTCCTGTTTATTTTAAATAATCAGGAGCATTGTTTTAAATATTTCCTATGTTTATAAATTTATAAACATAAATATAACATAAAATCATAAATCTAAATATAATTTTATAAATATAAGCTTATAAACCTATACATTTCTTTATAAATTTAGATTTATAAACATAGGAAATGTTTATAGAAAACAGTACGCCATAGACATACCTCCAGACCCCACCAGGCTGTTTCATTTGGGGCAACCCAAAGGAGTGGGGTGGTGAGTTCCTCTCCTCGCCCCAATCCTGTCAGCCAAAAACTTCCAGAACTCAAGTGCTGCCATGTTTACAGTCACTCTCTAAATGCTCTGCAGAGCCTCACCCACAGTTAATCTATTCCTGAACATCTCATACTTTACTAATGTATCAAAGTAGCACACCACATTTGATGGGATTTAAAGTAGAAGGCTCAACCTTTAACAACATGTCACTGATCTTTTATAGAAGGGCTTAATAACTCCTGAGTGGAAGGCAATAATCTTCACATACTTTCCTCTAAGAAACATTTTTGGGATCATTTTTAGCGGATTATTCATAACACACAATACAAAATAAATTATTTCGGTTCTGCTTTGGGGACAGGCTTTGGGATTCAGGTTGGAAACATCCGAAATATGGTGGTGGGATTGGTGTTCAAATATTAAATGTAATCAAATATTGTGAACCACTTTATAAAAACAAAATAAAAATAAATGAAAAAAGTAAAATGGAAATGTTTATAAATTTTCTAGAAGGCATCTTGACTCAGGAAGTCGAATCTTCTGTTGATGGAATATAATCATCAATTTATAAGCCCTTAGAGTCAAATTCTGTGAAACAACCTTGCCATCTTTATAATGCCCAATCCAGAAATTCCTGAATTTTCCATTGTTAGGGGGAAGTGTCTTAGAGGGATCTTCTCTGCTTCTCTCTTCGCTTCAACACAGTGAATAGGAATTCCTGACTCTAGCAGATTGGTTTGCCTGAAAATGTTATGGCCAGCACTTGTCCTTGTACACCGAGCTCTGATTGACACAGACACGTGTCTGGAAACATTCCTTGCCTGGCTGCTCTGTTCCTTTTTGGACTATAGCTTTCCACATGTCCTTGTGTTGCTGTGGCATATAAGTGGTTTATGTCATGAGAGTGTTGTTCCTTTATTTGCTACATATTAGTGTTTTGGAAATGAAGATCCATAGGCCTGAGGTAGTACAGGAAGTAAAGCTTTCTATGCAGCCAACACGTGTGATTTAAAAAAAAAAATTCACCCCAGAAATATCCTTTTCAAAATTATATTTAAAAAACAAGACACCTTTTATCATGACATATGTGCATATTAAAAAGCTAACACTTGAAAGGTCACACATCAAAATCATCAGAAAGGTTACTTTGGGAGGATGATGGTAGTGAGAGCAGTCACACAGATAGGAGATAGCAGCTTGATATTAACCTTTAACAAGATTTATTTCTCCTTAAGGCTCACTTTTCATTCTTGATATTATTTTTTTAGTAATAATTTTACTATAAGATATGCAAACATTAAAGAGTTATCATAAATTCAAATGGAGGATCCCTAACAGATTTTCCTGAGCATGATTTTCCTGCATGCCCGTGTATAAAACTTAAGTAATGGATTATAATTCCAGGACAGTTCCCAGATTATTTACCACCCAAGTGTTTGTGGAAGAAAGCCTGGAGCTGCTTCCAGGCATCCTCCTGGGCCTTGGAGTGAGCCCGGGGTTCCCCACCCCAGATGACAGGTTGGCCCACAAGGCTGTGCAGGGAAGCGTGGCACATGGGGAAGTAAGGAGGCTCAATATAGTGACCTGCATCTGGGTAACAGATGACCTGGGGCTTCTTACCACAGGCCTCTAAGCGCTTCGAGGCCTCTCTAGCATAGAATTCACTCTTCCAGTTGTGGTCATCCTGCCCCACCAGGAACAGGAGGGCACTCTCAGCCCTTTCCACAGGAATGATGCTATTCTGGTCTTCTTCTTCCAAAGGGCTGTTCAGAACGTCCACAATGTCTACAAAGCCGTCCTTGGTCATCTTGACTCGGTTTAGGTTCAGAGGCGCAGGGGGCAGGACCGTTCCCTTGTAATGTAATATTCCACCAACATTGACCAGAGAGCCATTGATTATGACTGTGGCAGTGATACCCTTCAGGAAAGAGGCCATGGAGAGGCAGAGATCGCCCCCCTTGGAAATCCCAAGCAGCCCAACTCCAGGACCTTGGACCTGAGAAAAGATGAGAGGAAAAGGAGGTGAGTCAGAGTATGAGGAGTGCGGTGAGAGTCCCAACCCGAAGGAAGGGGGACTGAGCCTGAGTCTGAGCTTAAGCATTGACCAGGATTTGCAACGGGGGAAAATGACTTCTCTATCTTCATTTCCACAATTTCTCCATCCCCATTCTTGGTGACTTCAACCATGTGGATGAGCTATGCCTTAGAACCGCCCATATTTTGTTAACAGCCCTCAGCCTCAAATCCTCTCTGACCTACTTTTCTACCTCACAACACAATTGACAAGCAGAGCTTTCTGAAGTTGTTTTCTTTCCTGTCTTCTGTTTTCTACTTAAACCCCTCTAGGGTCTCCTGAGTTTGTACAGTTCCACAGGGACTGTGCCTGTCATTGTCGCTGAAGTTTTATATTGGCCCTCCCGTTGATCGTCGATTTGATCGTCGATTTGCTCGAGCGGGCCCAGTAACGTCTCCATTGGAGACTTTGTTGTTACTGTGTCTGGCATATCGAATACTCTCGGTAGCTTGCCGGGCTCTCCGAGAGGGGCGGAGGAATCGAACTCGGGTCGACCATGTTGGCCGCTTGTAAGGCGTACGCCCTACCCGCTGTGCTATCGCTCCAGCCCAGTTATTTGCTTGATCTGCAAATAGCAGATTTCACCTACCCACCCACCCACCCATAGTTCCTAGAGCAGTATCCTTGATTTATTTCAACCATTTTATCCTCATGGAAGTACCAGAAGTTAAATGAAAACATTGTCATCCTAATATTTCAGAGAAAAATTTTTACACTGGCCTCAAGGCCTTGGAGCTGGTATTTGATCTTTTGTTGGGTTTCGAGGGCCACACCTGGTGATACTCAGGGCTTACTCCCGGTTCTGTGTTCAGATATCACTCCTAACAGGGCACAGAGACCAAATGGGGTGCAAGGGATCAAACCTGGGTTAACTACATGCAAGGTGAGCTTCTTATGCATTGTGCCATTGCTCCGGCCCCAGCCACCTCTTCCTGTTTCTAAGAACTCAAAATTTAATTTCCATCTACTGTGAGTTGGGCTAGAGTGATAGCACGGTGGGTAGGGTATTCGCCTTGCACGCGGCCGATCCAGGTTCAATTCCTTTGCCCCTCTCGGAGAGCTTGGAAAGCTACCAAGAGTATTTTGCCCTTATGTCAAAGCATGGCAAGCTACCCGTGACGTATTTGATGTGCCAAAAGCAGTAACAACAAGTCTCACAATTTGTTGTGAACGTTACTGGTGCCCACTCGAGCAAATCAATGAACAACAGGAGGACAGTGCTACAGTGCTACTGTGAGTTCATATTCACTGTCATCCCATTGATCACTGAATTACTCAAGCAGGCACCAGTAATGTCTCTATTCCTCTCAGGCCTGAGATTTTAGCAGCCACTTCTTACTCGTCCTTTACCAATGATCGAAGGCTCTTTTAGGGTCAGGGGAATGAGACCTATTGTCATTACTGTATTTGGCAAATCGAATATGTCATGGGGAGTTCTCCAGGCTCTGCCCGTGTGGGCGGAATACTCTCAGTAACTTGCCGGGCTCTCCAAGAGACATAAATGAGTAGGAAGTGTCTTATAATGTGCCGCAGCCTGGAGCGTGGCGGTGGTTAGGCAGTGGAGGTTGGCTACTGGGGCTGTGTCACTTGGGTAGGGAGGGCTCTCACCCACCCCATAGCCTGGCGCGGAGTCTGTGAGTTCATATTAAATTGTAAAATAGGAAGCTGGAGTCACAGCATAGTGGTTCAGGGTGCTTGATTTGCATGCGGCTGACCTGAGTCAACATACAATATGGTCTCCCAAGCACCATTGGGATTGATCCCTGAGCACAGAGCCAGGAGTAAGGTCTGAGCACCACCAGGTATAGCCCCAAAGCAAAACAAAAAACAAAGCAAAATCAATTGTAAAGTAAGTAAGGTTTATCTTCTGAGCCTCTGACACAGAAGCTGGAGCCCTCCTAGTACCTATGTTCTTTGATTCCTGAAAATAAATATGGTGCAAAGAAGCAAAAGGAAGAGAAAGATGTTAAAATACAAATATTTAAACTGTGGCCTTCTGTGGACAGATTCCCTTCCCCTTTCTCCCTGCTTCCTGTGTCAAATTTAGGGCTTTCAAATGTACTTGGGTTTATTATGAAATACAATAAAATAGTGGAATTTAAAATCCTATAATATCTATGAAAGGCATCCTTACTAGAATTCTACCTAGTAAAGTTGCAAAGAAACAGACCTGAGAAGACCATATTGTATGCCGAGGTTTGACTTAGGTCAGCCACATGCAAACTGACAGAATTGCAGAGAAACAGATCATGAGAAGTGACTATAAAAGGATAAAAGGTAGTGTGTCTGGGGGGTTGGGAATGAATATCATGGATTTGTGAATTTCTCTCTCTCTCTCTTTCTCTCTCTCTCTCTCTCTTGCGCGTGCGCTCCATACCCAGTGATGCTCAGGGCTCACTCCTGGCTCTGCATTCAGGGATCACTCCTGGTGGGACTGGGGCACCATATGGGATGCTGGAATCTAACCTAGGTCTGCTGTGTGCAAGACAAGCACCCCTACCTGCTGTACTAACTCTCTGGTTGGTCCTGAATTCATGAATTTCTATGAAACCCAAAAGCATTTATGGGGAGGAGATTCACTAGGTGACCATAAAACTTTAGAGATATTCCAACCTGAGGATGACTGCGCAGATAGTCCACAGCTTCTTCAAAGTACTCCAGTTGGAGGGCCTGAATGCCCTTGGGCAGGTCTTCATAGAGGTAATAAGCCAAAGCAATCACAGCAAAGCCCTTCCCTGCCAGCAGACTCGCTCGGTACTCTGGAAGACCACCTCCAACTCCAAAAATGTCCACAATCCCAGGAAAGGGCCCAGGGCCTTGCAAACAAACAACAAAAGAACAATTCTAGAAACTCTTTGGAGTGATGTCACAATTAATTTGTTGGAGACTGGAGCAATAGTATAGTGGGTAGGACATTTGCCTTGCCCACAACTGACACAGGTTTGATCCCTGGCATTCCCATATGGTCCCCTGAGCACTGCTAGAAGTAATTCCTGAGTGCAGAGCCAGGAGTAACCCCTAAGCATTGCTGGGTGTGACCTTCCCCCCCCAAAAAAAAAGCAAAAATACATAAATAAAACAAAGACCAATTTGTTTGTTCCCCACTCATTGGTTTCCAAAGTTTTCTATTGACAGTTAGAAATAGAAAGACCTCTGGTGTTTAAAGATCCTGACAGGGGCATAGGCCAGCAGCTTTCAATACTGATTACTTGCATGCACGTGTTTGTTGTGACTTTATTTCTTATCTGCAAAGACTTGAAACCCCGGGGTGGAGCGGTAGCACAGCGGGTAGGGCGTTTGCCTTGTACGTGGCCAACCCAGGTTTGATTCCCAGCATCCCATATGGTCCCCTAAGCACCGCCAGGAGTAATTCCTGAGTGCAGAGCCAGGAGTAACCCCTGTGCATCGCCGGGCGTGACCCAAAAAGAAAAAAAAAAGATTTGAAACCCAAGGTCTTCTTTCACTGAGAAAAAGACAGAAAAAATGTGGTCACTCATAAAACAGGGTACTGAGACTCAAGAGAGAACAAGTAATGGAGAAACATGAATCGCCAATGTAGCAGACTAGACTCAAGGGGCCATGTACTCTGTATCATTCTCAATCAGGAATGATCCCTTTAGCAGAGAGTCAGGAGTAAGACCTGAGCATCGCTGGATACAGTCCAAAAGCAAACGCTGGCCCTTCCCCCACACTCCACCTCCACCGCCCCACCCCAATCCAAAAAAGGTTTCTGCCTATTGGTAATTTCCTTAACTTTATTATTTGCTGTGCGTAGAGACCCAAAGTTAGAAAAATTAAAAAGCTGGAACAAACTTGAAGCTTCCCATATATTTTGATTCTGTGTTTCATTACACAGCTCCTTTTCCTCTCCTTGGGATGTCTTTTAAATGACCTCCGGTTTTGGAGAGGCAGAGCCAGCTCCCTGCCAGCCTCAGAACCATTCCTGTCTTCCTGGCACTAGAGCTGGGCGTTGTGGGTAACTTTCTTCTCGCTCAGCTCAGACCGGACTAACGAGACACTCACCTGGCGGCAGGAAGAGCGTGCCGCGCACCCGGCCCGCGCGCACCGGCTCCCGCCGCACCCCGGGCCCCAGAAAGTGGCGCTCGTGCTCCGTCCGGCCCAGCAGCCGCCCGGGCTCCGGATCGTGGCCGTCCCACACCTCCAGCTTCACCGTGAAGGGCGTCTGCACGTCCCGCTTCACCAGCCGCAGCAAGGGCTGCTCGGGCTCCAGGGCCCAGAAGAGCCCCATGGGCTCGAGCCCCGCGAAGCTGCCGCCCAGCGCGGGCGCGCGCGCCAAGTCCAGCCGGCCGTGGGCGTCGGCGCAGTAGCGCGCGTGGGCCCGGAAGAGCGCGCCCTTCTCGTCGCGCAGGGACGCGCGGAGCGTGACCCGCTGCTCAGGGGCCAGGCCGCTGGCCGAGATGCGCACGGGCTCGTCCCAGAGGCTGCGGCCCGCGGGTTCCACCGTCACCGTCACCGCCGTCCGGGCTGTAAGCCAGGAGACCTGGCCACCCGGTCTCAGCGTTGAAGGTCCCCGCGACCGCGCCCAGTTCTTTGGGCCCCATCGGCAGAGTCGCAGGATGGCGGGGGAGGACACCATTTTGCGCCTTAACTTCGCCTCTCGGATCAGCTGCGGAGCTGTAGAGAAAGTTAGAAACTGAGCTTGAGATCCTCTGCCTGCCTCTCGGCCAGCTGCATCGGAGCAATCTGCGGAATTGATCTTTGAGGACCAGCGTCCTGCGGGTCTGTCACTCAGTGCCTTTTAAAAACAGGAGCTACAGGAGGTGGAGGAGAGAGAGGCGACGTTGGGTCACGGGTGGAGGGGCTCTGACACTGATGATGGGTTTGGAGATGGAATATTGAACGCCTGAAAACTGCTATGAAATGCTATGTAAATCACGGCGCCTACGTTTTAAAAGTAAAAGCAAGTAAGCTAAAGGGCGGGGGTGTGACTCCATGGTCAAGTGAAGGGCTTGCATCCCTGGTTTCCCAAAACAGAAGAGAGCGCGCGCGCGCACACACACACACACACACACACATACTTGCTTAAAACCTTCCATAAAGAAATACCTCTTCTTCAAGTTTCTGGAGTTTCCTGGGTCCGCCTCTCGGAAGCTCTGGCTCAGGCGCAGTCAGCTGGTTCCGAAGGGAACTGACATACAGCCAAACTGCAGCTGCCCGGCTTCCATCGTGTTATCTGGGGACGTTAGCTAGCCCTCGCTCAGCTCCCTTTCATGGGGCAAGCAAGAGATTAAACTGTATCTGCCTCTTTCCAAAAGTCTCGTTAGAAAAAATAATAAAAGCTGGGAACGTTTTATTAGTTCTTTTCATAGTTAATATATTGTCGCAAAAACAAAACAAAATCAAACAAAACCCCCAAAGTCTGAACTTCAGTTAACACAGCCAAAACAATCCTCAGAAGAGGTTTAATTTGGTTGTTTTCTGTGGCTGTTGATTGTTCTCTTGTCTCATGATAATGGGAACTACACATTTTTCCAAAGGAACCAAGAAGCTGCTGTTTCTCCAGGGAGCAAGCTGAGACAAACCAAATTTTGGGGATCTTTGCATCATCCCAAGATCAGAGAGAGACACACTTTTGAAAGATTTGCTGTGAATTCGGGTTGTTGGTACTTGCATACTTTTGAATTACTTAGAGAGTCAGGTAATCAGTCAGCCAGATCAAACCCTGGCAATTCTGATAAGTGAGCTGGATGCAACAATCACAGATCAGTTCTACAGGAAAGACGGTTTTACTGCAAGGGGCATCATTCATGAGAGTGGCATTGTGACCTGTGATTCTGTCATTGATGCTACACTATTCAGTCCTTGTGGGTATTCAATAAATGGAGCAAAATAAGATGGAACTTACTGGACATCACTCCAGAACTAGAATTTCTTTTTCTTTTCTTTTTAACTGTACCTGGCTATGCTCTGGGCTTACTCCTGGCTCTGTGCTCAGGGATCACTTCCTGGTGGGGTTCTGTGGACCATATGGGGTGCTAAGAATTGAACCCAGCTCAGCCATGTGCAAGCAAGTGCCCTACCTGCTGTACTATTTGACACCAGAATTCCTTTTTAAATTTCCCATTTTTATTGGTGCTCCATGATGTACAGTACTGTTCATGATAATTTTATATATTCATCTTCCCAACACTACACCATTATCAGGTATCCCAAAGACCTTTCCCTTCCCCAATGTCCCAGGGACCCTTCCAAATACCCCCCTGGCCCAAATCCCCAAATTAAATTCAGTTTTGTAAACCAGTTCTCAGTTTTTGTTGCCTCTGTCCATTTGTTGTTCCCTTACTATGTGTCTTTATATCCCAGTATGAGAGAAATCATTCTGTCTGACTTTACTCAACATGAAACCTTCTAATTCCATCCATTAGCAGAAAATTGCATGGTTTTATTTTTCTTACAGCCACATAGTATTCCACTGTGTACATACACCACAATTTCTTTATCCAGTCATCTAGTACTAGAATTTTCTATGCTATCTTTGAAGCAAACTGAAGTCAGACTTCCTATGATGAGCTGATCAGGAAACTTGTGGAAGTTTTCAAGACCGGAAAATTTGTCACCACCCTGTTTGTAAATCAGAATTCTAAATGTTGCACAGTGCTTTGATTGAAAGTTTTAAACATCTTGATTGCCAGAGCGCCATGTTTAATGGTTACAGTTTTGTCTTTGCCAGTTTCACTAAGAAGCAGCAACAACAGCAGGTTGTTAATAAAAGGTAAAGGTAAAGGTAAAGGCCCTCCCGTTGATCGTCGATTTGCTCGAGCGGGCCCAGTAACGTCTCCATTGGAGACTTTGTTGTTACTGTGTTTGGCATATCAAATACTCTCGGTAGCTTGCCGGGCTCTCCGAGAGGGGCGGAGGAATCGAACTCGGGTCGGCCATGTTGGCCGCTTGTAAGGCGAACGCCCTACCACTGTGCTATGTTGTTAATAAAAATGAAGAAAAAATGCAAAAAGAGAACAAACATAAAAGAATGTGGTGGTTATGGGGCCACCCAAACCTTCCATAGCCACCACGTGTGGTTGCAGAAAATACTAGATGTAGAGCACTGTAGCACTGTCATCCCATTGTTCATCGGCTTACTTGAGTGGGCACCAGTAATGTCTCCATTTGTCCCAGCCTGAGATTTAATTTAATTAAATTAATTAATTTATTTATTTATTAGTGAAACACCATGAGGTACAGTTATAGACTTATAAATTTTTGTGCTTGGGTTTTCAGTTATACAATGATCAAGCACCCATCCCTCCACCAGTGCCCATCCTCCACCACCACGGGTCCCAGCATCCCTCCCACCCCCCATCTCCCTGTCCCACCCTGCCTCTGTGGCAGGGCATTCCCCCTTGTTCTCTCTCTCTTCTTTTGGGTACTGTGTTTTGCAAGAGAGGCATTGAGTGGCAATCATGTTTGTCTATGGACTACTTTCAGCATGCTTCTCCTACCCTGGGAGGATCCTCACAACACCCTTTATTTGGTGCTCTCTTCTCTATCTGAGCTTCCTTTTCACCTAGCACGTGTGGCTGGCCTTCAAGTCATGGAGCAAAATTCCTGGTACTAATCTCGGCCATTCCTGGGTGTTAGTCTCCCATTTTGTTGCTTTATGTTCCCCAGATGAATGCAATCTTTCTGTGTCTATCCCTCTCTTTCTGACTCATTTCGCTTAACATGATACTTTCCATATAGTACCACTTGTATGTAAATTTCATAACTTCATCTTTATTAACACCTACATAGTACTCCACTGTGTAAATGTACCAAAGTTTCTTTAACCAGTCATCTGTTCTCGGGCACTCAGGTTTCTTCCAGTTTCTGGCTATTGTAAAGAGGGCTGCCATGAACAAACAATTGCAGATGTCACTTCAACTATACCTTTTTGCCTCTCTGGGATATATTCCAGGAGTGCTATTCCAGCCTAAGATTTTAGCAACCTCTCCTTTCATCTTTCTCAACTCTGTTGCATAGGAGGCTCTTTCAGGGTCAGGGGAATTAGATCGTTATTGTTACTGTTTTTGGCATATCAAATATGCTACGGGTAGCTAGTGTAAACAAATTTTTTTTTTTTGCTTTCTGGATTATACCTGGCAGTACTCAAGGGTTACTACTGTGTCTGCACTCAGGAATTACTCATAGTGGTACTCAGGGGACCTTATGGGATGCCAGGGATCAAATCCAAGTCGGCCACGTGCAAGGCAAATGCCCTACCCGCTGTGCTAAATCTAGCCCAGTGTAATCGGTCATGGTCACAGTCCTCCCGTTGTTCGATTTGCTTGAGCGGGCCCAGTAACGTCTCCATCATGAGACTTGTTGTTACTGTGTTTGGCATATCGAATACATCACGGGTAGCTTGCTGGGCTCTGCCGTGCGGGCGAGATACTCTCGGTAGCTTGCCCGGCTCTCCGAGAGGGGCAGAGGAATCGAACTCGGGTCGGCCATGTTGGCCGCTTGTAAGGCAAATGCCCTACCGCTGTGCTATCGCTCCAGTGCTTCCCCCCCCCCCCCCCCCCCCCCCCCCCCGGCCTTCAACCTTGAGTTGTTTTAGCATCGTGTTCAGTTAGTCATGTGTAATATATCAACTATTAACCCAGTGTAATCATTTTTAATTATATGCATTATATGAAGGAATTATATATCTTACAGGAATGCTTACTTCTGTGTTTAGGTATCCTATACCATTCTTGCTATAAAACTGAAATGCATGTAGAAAAAAAAAACTTTTACTATATAGAACATTACCAACATTTGTGAAAACAATTAAATTTGATGTATGCACGGTGGGCTATTTCTCCAGGTATCATCCAATTAGATATTGATCTCAGTCTAACCAGCTAGAACTGTTAAATTGCTCCCAGGATTTTTACATCCAATCATCCTGATTTTCTATAACATATTCTCTACTAATAAACTGAAACCAAGTTCTACTTCATACAGGTGGTTTTGCAACAGCAATTAAAATTTTCTCTCGGGGCTGGAGAGATGGCACAGCGGGTAGGGCGTTTGCCTTGCACGTGGCCGACCTGGGTTCAATTCCCAGCATCCCATATGGTCCCCTGAGCACCGCCAGGAGTAACTCCTGAGTGCAGAGCCAGGAGTAACCCCTTGCATCACCAGGTGTGACCCCCCCAAAAAAAAAGGAAAAAAAATTTCTCTCAATAGTTGAGTCATCTTAAGAAAATGATTGTCATTTCTCAGGTGATTACTATTTTAACATTCTTGCTTTCTGTTACCTTTATTCCTGTAATGATTTTCCTATATGCAACATCTCCTCCTCTTCTCCCACCCCATCCACTCCATTAAAACAATACACTGTTTTTTTTTTTTAAGTCTACTTCCTAGACTCTTAGTAGTAAAAAGGAGTGTAAGACTAGAATTGAGCTTTAGGATTTGTTGAGAAATTCATAGCCATTACAAACCATAACCCTTTTCTTTAAATTGTGAATTCATCTTAGAGAATGGACTGTTCACTGCTGATTTGTGGCTGAGAGAGAAGTAAAATGTGCATTATGGATGGAAATGGAGATAGTACAAGAGGTAAGTCATTTCCTTGCACATGGATAACACAGGTTCGATCCCTGATACCACATATAGTCCCTGAGCACCACCAGGAGTGATCCCCAAGCATGAGATATGACCCAACAGACATACACACACAAAAAAGTACATCATGGTTTTTTGCTTATGTGTTATTTTGTCTATATGCTTAATTTCCAAACAATATCACATCTAATGTTTTTCTCAGGTAATCTCAGCTTCATTCCTTATAAGGAATTAAAATAGCCATGTGATGTAATTTTCTTATACTGGGTGGCCATATTGCTCCATTTTGGCAAATTTTATCTCCCTTTTATCCTGAACTTATTGCCTTTCCCATTATTAATAAATGCAGTGCAATTTCCCAAAGCTCAATTTACAAGAAAGAAATTTAATGAATAGTTAATGATACCCCTGAAGTTGTGAGTATTCTGAGTAGAGTCATAGAACTCTAGAGAGGTGGTTGCCTGGTAACCAATAGAAACAGTTTTGGAACCTAAGAAACTGAGGAAGTCTTAAGATGAAGAACCTTGTTTCCCTTTGAAGACTGTCTCAGAGAAGATTACCTCTGAAGGTAATTTGGAAGGTAATTTCAAAACACTGCTGCTTTCCTAGCAGGTTTTTTGTTTTCATTTAGTTTGGTTTTTTTTTTTTATCAGATCTGTTTTTTTAGCATTCACTGATTGATGACACTCAATATTGAAAAATTTTGAATTGTGTTCAAAAGGTCACTATTGTTTCAAGTTATTAACTAGTACTGTGATCTTAGTTGTCTTTTTTGGGGCAATGTCCCAAGAGGAGCTCAGGGAGCCCTTTGGTCATTTCTGGCAATCCTCAGTGACCAGCAATTCAATGGGAAGCCCAGGGATATGGTACTGCCTGAGTCTTGTGGTGCCTGTTATTACCTGGGACCCCTCTGTGGTTCTCAAGAGCCTCCCTGAAGAAACTACAACCTGCTGTGTTCTGGGGACTGTCTGGTGCTGGTTGTGTCTAAGGCATGTGTCCTAATTCCCTGTGTTCTCTCTCTCTCTCTCTCTCTCTCTCTCTCTCTCTCTCTCTTTCTCCCCCCACCCCGTGTGTGTGTGTGTGTGTGTGTGTATGTGTATGTGTATGTATATTCCTGATCTTAATCTTAGTGGTCTTAGATCTTTCTCCTCTCTGAGTCTAAGTTTTTTAATCTGTAAGATAAACTAACTGGACATCTCATCTAATGGTTTCTAGAATAGTTCCAGGAGTCAAGAGAATATTGGATATTGGTGTGAGTGTACAGCAAGGAATAGAGATTAGAAAGCTAAGGGGGTCCAGCACATTGTCAAAAAATTAAAGAAAAAAAAAAAAGAAAGCCAAGGGGGAAATAAAAGGAAATTTCTGATGAGAAAGAGGCCCATGAGAGAATTTGAAAGAAGTCAGGGTCAAAGGCAGTGTCTCCTGACACCTCTTGGCATCATGCTTCTTTCATATATCCCACACATACCTTACAGGTCTTCTCTGAGACCTTGTTAAAATGAAGATTTCTAGGCTCCATTGCAGTCCATGGAATCAGTATTTTGGAACATGTGACACAGGAATCTGCATTTGACGTACTCCTTCAAGGTCTTGGTGTAGATCCTTTAACCTCGTCTAACACTGTCCCAGAAGTCCCCCTCTGGGGCCCTTCCTCAGAACTTCAAATCTGTGTGTGAAGGTGAGAATATATTACTTTTTTTTTTCTTTTTACAGCTTTCAGAAGATACTCTGCTAAATTTTGTTGCTTTTTGGCCTTTTTTTTCCTGGGCACTTCCTACTGCTTTAACAATAAAGGGGCCAGAATGATGGTACACAGGTTTAGTGCTTTCCTGTCATCGTTCAGATCCTGATTTGAACCCCCAACACCACATTGGTCACTTGAGCACTGCCAGGAGTCATTCCTGAGTGCAGAGCCTCGGATAGCCCTGAGAAACAAGACAAGTTATTACTCATTTTTCTACTCAACTATTTCTGCAGAATAAAGGAGAGGACTGGGACTGGGGTGGAGAAGAGGAGAACTGCATGTTTTGAACCTCTGGAATATCACCCATTTTGAGTCTGGCTTCCTCTATTAGGTTTTAACCTGAGGCATGTGGTCTAACCCTTCCACCCCACTCTTGCTTGTTCAGTCAAGTTCTAGAAGTACAGAGGTATATTGGGACTGTGTACTAAACTCGAAGGCTTGGTCTGCAGTTATGCCAGGGTTGAATATCTATGGGAGCCACTTAGTCTTCTGCTATTAGTCAGGGCGCAAAAGCCCTCTACACCTGCTCCCTTGCTTTTATTTATTTTCTTCTTTTGGGGGCCGCATCTGTCGATGCTCAAGGTTTACTCTGCACTAAGTAATCACTCCTGGTGTTGCTCAAGGGACCATATGGGATTCTGGGACTTGAACCCTGGTTGCCACGCACAAGGCAAGTGCCCTATCAGCTGTGCTATAGCGTACAGCCCTGCCCTTTGCTTTTAGTTGTTTACTTGCTTGGTGTGGTTTTGGGGCCAGAGCCAGCAAGTGCTTAAGGCTTTCCCTGTTCTGTAGCACTGTAGCACTGTCCCCCCATTGTTACTGTGTTTGTCACATCGAATACATCATGCCAGGCTTGTGCTGTGCAGGTGAGATACTCTCGGTAGCTTGCCAGGCTCTCTGAGAGGGGTGAAGGAATCAAACCCGGGTTGACCAGGTCGTGGTGATGTATATAGGGTGCCAGGGAATCGAACCCATATCAGTGTGTGCAGGGCAAGCACCCTGCATGCTATTCTAACTCTCTGGCACATGGTTTTAGTTTTTAAGGACTGTTTGTTGTTGGTAAAGGTAATATTTATGTTTGATAATATAGATGCTCTAAACTCTCTCTTCCTCACTCTGTATCTTTTCTTTCTCTTTTCTACCTATATATCTTTTTGGTAATTACTGAGGACACCAATATCTCTAAATCATTCCCTAAGTGTATATAACAGTGATACTAAAAAAATTTGCCTTCTAGGGGCTAGAGCAATAGTACAGTGGGTAGGGTGTTTGCGTTGCATGTGGCTGACCCAGATTCAATCTACAGCATCCCATATGGTCCACCAAGCCCTCCAGTAGTGACTCTTGAGCATAGAACCATGAGTAAGCTCTGAGCACTGCAGGGAGTGGCCCCAAAAGAAATAAACAAAAAGCTCCAAAACACAACTTGCCCTCTAGCTGCATTGGTCAGGTCAGTGGTTTTTGACCTTTTCACACCTGTGAATGGGCACTCTTCTATGGCCCAGTGGTAAGTCAATAATAATAACAAAACCTCACAATTATCTAATACTTTCTTTCCAACTTGCAAAGAACTTGCATGCATATGCCCTAATTTTGATCTTTATAGCAATAATAAATTAGAACAAGTATCAGACTATCTTCAGATTGGCAACCTGAGGCAAATCAGGGAGAGTGAATCATTGATCCAAGGCAGCATGTCTGGGAAGAGTGGATTCTGAACCAAAAAATCTGCATTCTTTTGGCAAAACCTTACAACATTTTGGCCAGTTCTCCATTTATTTCCAAAACATTTATTTCAGCTTAATGACATCTAGATGAAAGCTGGTTCTTAGAAAAATGAAATACATCATGAGGTCAGGTTTGAAACCCGGAATATTGAAATAACTTGGGCTCAAGGGGAGAAGATACTGTGATAGATGTTAAGAAGGGAAGGCTGTCTTGATCACTGGTATCAGAGAGAAAGAGGAAAAGAATCATGAAGGGGCTGGGGATGTGGCTCAACTGGCAAAGCATATGCCTAGCGTGTCCAAAGCCCTGAGTTTGATCCTTGGCACCATGTGGATTTCCACACTCAGCACTGCTGGAGGTGACCCCAGGACCCTGAGCACCAGTGTGGCACTTTTCTCTATAAGATAGAGAAAAGGAGTGAGTTAGGGAATAGCTGGGAATTGAGAATTACTAGAATTTGGGTCTTCCCTCCACCCAATAGAGCACATAGATGGAAGCACCATTAAGTGGAGGGAGGCTAAAAGGCTTGAGGGGTTACATTGGTGAGGTGTAGTGGGGTGTGGTGGGGGTATCATAAATTGGGGTCACACCCATGGAGAACCCTGAACTGCCAGGTTGGGTTGTCTGGGCTTTGGGCTGTGAGTCTTTTGAACACAGTAGAAGAGAAAGCAGGAGGAAACTGGAAGCGCGCGGTTCTGTAGTCATCCTTCACGAGGGAACAGGGCTAGGCTTCAGGGACAAGCGCGAGGCTAAAAGCAAGGGTCTGATGAAGAACTCTGGCATGGCCCTCCACTTCCTTTCCTTGGGCTTTTGGCTTCCCTTACCCTCCCCCGTGCACCTCCCACCACCCTCCCACCTTCTCCCCGTGCGCCTTTGGATTCCCAGTGCCCCCCAGGCCAGCGCTCCCGCTGCTCCATCCCCCAGGTCCCCGTGGTGCGGCCCAGCGATGACGAATCCTCCTCAGAAAACGACCTTCTTCTCCCGCCGCTACCCTCGGTGGCTCCAGCCGCGGCTGAAATGGGGGATGAGCTTCTTCCACGTCCGACCCCAAACCGTGGCGCGGGGCACCGCCGTCCCCCCCGCGCCGCCCGTCTTCCAGTTCAGCCCGCAGCACAAGGATCACCTGCGGGAGCAGTACCTGCAGCGCGCGGCCGCCGAGCTGACCTTCGCGCCCGACGTGGTGGCGCAGCGCGGCGTGGCCAGCATCCCCTACCAGCAGTGCCACTTCGGGCACCTGTACCACGCGCACCCATTCCACGTCGGCCCGCCGCTCCGCGCCACGACTGGCCCCTGCCGATGCCCCAGCCTGGGGATGTCTGAGCACCCGGTTGTCGAGGGCGCCTCGGGGAGGCGCATCGTCCCAGCCGTGCGGTCCCGGAGAGTGGCCAGATACAAGAGGCTGCAGCGGAAAACCCGGCCCGAGGTCGTGCTGGCCCCACGGCCGCCAGACCCCAGCCCATCTCTCGGCGCCACACTGCGCAGGCAGGATTTCGAGGATCCGAGCCTGGAGCAGCAGGAGAGCTGGATGGCGCCCTCGGAGGGGAGCACCAAATTCTGGGAGAACCTGGTGCTGGAGAAGCTGAACAAGCGCACCGCCCGCTGGATCCTCAGCAAGCGCCCTCAGAAGGCCGGGGTCCCCACCAGCAAGTGGCAGAGTTTCCTGCGTCATCAGTACGACTGGAGCCACATCCGTGACGAGCTCACCTCTGAGAGTCAGCTGAAGCTCCTGGAACAGCTGGAGAAGGAAGAGATGGCGGAATTTGAGACCCCACCTCCCAGTCCGATCGTCGTGGAGGAAAAGGAACCAGACATGACGCTTTCTATGTATTACAGGTAGGCTGAACAGCGGCCTCTCTGGGGTGACTCCTGGCTCTGCACTCAGGAATCGCTCCTGGCGGTGCTCAGGGGCTGCTCGAAAGGCAAGCACCTTACCTGCTGTGCTGTCTCCCCTGCCGGTGGGTTCCACACACTTTGAAACAGCCCTGGCTTCCGTTCGGGGCCTCCCTCATGGGTCCCCATGTCAGAATGTCCCATCCGGTGAACCTCCTATGCTTGACCACCTGCCCCTCATCCCTCAAGGATCTCCTTAAAGCAGGTGGCTCAGCTGCTCTGCTATGCCCATGGCCAGACTTTAAATAGACTCCCACTCCAGAAGCACCCTCCAGTGACTATAACCAAAGGAGTTTCCAGACAGTTCCCTGGAGGAGCAAAATTGCTTGGGCAAGAACCACTGCCTTTAAAGGAACTGGTCTTGGGCCTTTGCCAGAGGACTGCATTATTCCCCTGGTCCCATTCCTTTCCAATTACTGCTCCCAGACAGAGATCTCCCGGTTCTGAGATTTAGGACCTACCTGACTTTGAATAAGGAGCCAGAATGGCAGAGACTGACAGAACAGGAAGCCTAGCAGGAGAGAATCCCCTCACTTCTCTCCCATTGCTTCCTTCTCATTCATAGCTAAGGAGAGACCTCTGTGGTTTCCCAAAGTGAACAAAATAACAAGTGGGAATCCGTTTATTTGTTCATTCATTGGACAGAGATAAATTACACCCCATTAGACTGCCAATTGCTGAGAAGACCACGTTAAGAAGGCTTATCCTTTGTTTGTTTGGGTCAACCTTGCAGTTGAGCAGGGCTTACTTCTAATTCTGTGCTCAGGAATCACTCCTGGTGGGGCTTGGGGGACCATATGTGGTCCTGGGGACTGAACCTGGGTTGTACAGAGACCTGTCATTTAGAGGCAGCTAACCATACACTGACCTTAAGTAGTCACATACAGGATAGAGCGAGGTCATGCAGGTGGCTGGTTCCCTTCCCTGAATCCTCACGACCCTTAAAGACACAGTATTAAGGAAAGGACCACGACCCAATGCAGGGAGCATGACCGCTCTGGAGTCCCGCCCCCCCCCCCACCCCCGCACTTCTAGGTGTGGCTGGAGGGGACAGGAAAGGGGACTGGAGGGAGACCATCTGGCAGCTCCATATTCATTTGGCACCCTGGCAGAGACACCACGAGAGTAACATGGATAGTCTTTAGATGCTCAGATGTGTTTTGCTGAGCTTACAGTAAAAGAGGGGTGTCCCTCTCTTCCCTTGCCTTTCTCTCACTTTCTTGTTCCTTCCAAGATTGCCCAAAATCTTGCCCCAAGAGCAGAGAGATGAAATTTTCGAGAATAAGACAACTGATGAAATTAACCAACAGAGAGGCACCTTACACTTCTCAGACCAGAGCTATTACCTACCAGTGACTCCCGGAGCTGGAAAGTTTTCTTTTGCCACAGACAACGCCTTTGAACAGGAGATTTACTTAGGTAAACAGAACCAGGGCCCAAGTTAGGAGCGGGGTGACCACCAGTAGATCTGGAACGGGGAGGTAGAAAGTGGTTGGGGATTGAAATGGTCATGGGTGTGCAGGTTTAAATGACTTGAACGTTCTTGCAGTGCCACCCAGTCAATAGCATGGATGTCTGGGAGTGGGGAGGGAGCAGGGGAACAGGACAGCATCTGAGGAGGCAGAAAATGTTCTCCACTCCCCTCCCCTTTCTCTACCCCTCCCTTTTATTTATTTATTTATTTATTTATTTATTTATTGCTTTTTGAGTCACACCCAGAGATGTACAGAGGTTACTCCTGGGTCATGGACTCAGGAATTACTCCTGGCAGTGCTTGGGGGTCCATATAGGATGCTGGGGATTGAACCCGGGTCAGCTGCGTGCAAGGCAAACGCCCTACCCGCTGTGCTATTGCTCCAGCGTCTACCCCTCCCTTTTAGTAAGGAGATGGTGAAATATGGAATTGTAAAGAATACAACACTTGGGAGCAACAAGACTTGGAAAAGAAGTCAGCTGCTCTGCATCCTCCCTCCTCACATGCCCTGGTAATCCCCCTCAAGGGCTGTGGTGGAAAAATCTTAGACTTTGGATTCACGGAGATCTAGATTTAAATCCTTTCAGCTAAACCTCCATGAGTGATACCTCTGAGCCTTATTCATTTTATTTGTAAAATAATATTAACCAAAATGCACTCCAAGAACAGACAGGAAAGACAGGAAAGCATATCATGCAATGCTTCTTGCCTAACACTCAGTGAATGGTGATTACCATCCCTGAGACTCATCCTCCAAACACCCCTGCCACACACACACACACACACACACACACACACACACACACACACTTGTCCTGTTACTCTTTACATGCCTGTTCCCCAGGATGCATGGTACAGATCTGCTGTTTATTCTCTCCTACACCCAACTTGTTACTGAAAGTCTTCTTCAGGTGTTTACCAAAATTATAACAAAGTATTTTGGACTAATCAGAAATGAATTAGGTACCCTTTTACTAGTATCCAACTTTTCAGATGGATGTTTCAGGTTTCTAGGAAGCCACCAGCTCATATTTACAAGCAGCTGACATCTCCACTGCACGTTCCCCCACACCTAGCATACCTGTACCCAAACCCCTACCCCCAACTAAGGGTTTAGAGTAGGGCAAAGACTATTGGAAATCTAGTTATTGAAAATTTAGGAAGAGAGGAAGGAGGTCCTGGGGAATTCCTGATTTCTTTATCTGTTCCCAGATAAAGTGAAGATTATCCATCCAATTGGTGCAAAGAGAAGCCAAATACTCCTGGAAAACCGCAGTCTGTACAACAAACAATTATGTGAGATCTTTCCTCAGTCCCCATGTCGGTGGACTTTTGAGCAAGTCCCTGAAGCACGTAAGCAGACACCTGGCAATGGGGGCTAATGATGAGTGTGGATATTTTTTTTCTTTCTTTTCTTTTTGGGTTACGCCAGCGATGCTCAGGGATTAATCCTGGTTCTGCACTCAGGAATTACTTGTGGCAGTGCTTGGGAACCATATGGGATGCTGGGACTTGAACCTGGGTTGGCCACGTGACAGGCAAATGCCCTACCCGCTGTGCTATCAATCCAGCCCCAGTGGCTATTTCTTTAAGTCCCCTTTTTTTAAAGACTGGGGTACCATCAGCATCTAGGGGAATCCTTTCTCACCATCTGAAAAGCACTTCATACGGTTATAAAGCACTAACTGCAACTAGGAAGGGCCTTTGTAGAGTATCCATTCAGTTTAATGATACTTTTTATTTTTACTTATTTATATTTTTGCTTTTTGGGTCACACCCGGCAATGCTCAGGACTTACTCCTTACTCTGCACTCAGGAATCACTCCTGACGGTGGCTTGGGGGACCATATGGGATGCTGGGAATCAACTTGGGTCAGCTGTGTGCAAGGCAAACGCCCTGCCCTGTGCTACCACTCTAGCCCCAATCCATTCAGTTTAAATCAGATAAAATTTAGACCTAACCAAGTGGCTTAGGGCCCTTAGTTATCAGTAAGGCAGATATCATCCTTGTTTCCAGAGAAAGGAGAGCCAAACCTTAATGGACATGCACTCTGACCTTTGTCCTCCACTGGCTCTCCCCTCCCACTCCATTCTTCGGCCTTTATTTGTCTCAGGCTCTGTGTATGTTTCTGTTTTACAAGGACATCATTCTTCATCTGCAGATTAGAGAGAAGGAAGGGAGGAGGCCCACAAATGAGCTTATGGAATAAAAAGCGTTTCCTCCCAGATCTTATGTCTCCCATTTCCACCACTCTTTTCTTCTTGTTGTCACTGTTCAGATAGGCCGTGCCAGAGGTGAAGAAATTAATAGTAGTTGTTTCCCTTCTTTTCCCACCAGCCCAAGCCTGTCTCTTGTGCTAGTCCACTGCAGAGGAGATGCTAGCAAAAACAAATATGGGCTGCTTCTTCCAAACTCATGCGCCTCCTCTGTGTTGAGGGAGCACCAATATAATGCAGTGGAGAGAGCCCCTTTCCTCACCATTCCTCCATACCACACCCCAACAAAGTCCTGGATTCAGTATTGGCAAGTCATCTTTTGGGGCTTTAATAACTTCATTAAAACAGAGCCATAAATCATTTCCACATTGAGACACTTTTGTGATACTGATTTTATGACAGTATCACAGCTTTGGTGACTTTCATGAATGTTTTATAAATCATTGAATACTACACACACTCAAGGCATGACTGTTAGTACACAACTTCCCCATCCTTGCCTCTGAGAACAGGCAGCTCTTGAGAACAAGACAAAGTTGATTGTGGTTGCCGGAAAAAGGAATAAAAAGATATGGAATGATTTAAAATATTCTAAAATTATAGTTCCATGATAGTTGGGCAACTCTCTGAGCAAATTGAAAGCTACTAACTTGAATGTATTTTGTTTCTTGGGCATACCCAGTCACTAGTGCTCAGGGGCTACTCCTGACTCTGTGCTCAGAGGTCACTTCTTGCAGTGCTCAGAAGTCCCCATATGATGTTCTGGGGATCAAACTGGGTTGGTCACATGCAAGGCAAGCACCATACCTCCTATACTACCTCAGGCACTGAATTGTATGTTCTTTAAAAGGATGAATTTACAGTGTGTAAATTCGATGTCACCAAAACCTCTTATAAGGAAGCTTTTGCTCCCTGAGCATCCAACTGCATTCTTTTTGGTTAGTTTGGTTTGTTTTTGGGCCATACTATATGATGCTCAGGCTCTATTCCTGGCTCATTACTCAGGAATCACTCCCAGTGGTGTTCAGGGGACCATATGGGGTGCTAGGGATTGAACCCAGGCCAATTGTGTGCAAGTCAAGTGCCCTCCTCGCTGTACTATCTCTTTGCATTCCATACTGCATTCTTGAAAGCTTCATCCTTCTTACTTGCTTTGCAAGAACTCAGATCACTCAGCAATCAGATACTAGAGGGTTTCCACATCATGCTTTGTCTTAAAAAGATATTTGGAATTGATCCAAAGGAAGTAAAGTCAGAATAATAATATACAGATACCTTATTATAGCCATTTTATTCATCATTTCATCTTAGAAAACATTTTTCAGGGGTTCAAGGTATGGTACATATCTTTCATGTACTTGAGAGCCCTGGGTTTGATAACCAGCACAGCAAAAATAATAAGTGAGTGGGAAATACTAAATATAAAAGAACCTGGAAAAATAGGAAAAAAATTTTTTTTATTTATTCTCTCTCTCTCTCTCTCTCTCTCTCTCTCTCTCTCTCTCTCTCTCTTAGTGGGGTGTGTTTGGGCCATACCTGGTGGTTCTCAAGAGTTTCCTCCTGACTGTGCTCAGGGATCACTCCTGGCAATGCTGGGAATTGACCTGGGCCAGCTGCCTACAAGGCAAGTGCCTTAATTCCTGTACACACACACACTCTCTCTTTCTCTCTCTGTCTCTGTTTCTCTCTCTGTTTCTCTCTCTCTCGCTCTGTCTCTCTGTCTCTCTGTCTCTCTCTGTCTCTCTGTCTCTGTCTCTGTCTCTATCTCTGTCTCTCTCTCTCTCTCTCTCTCTCTGGCCCTTCTCTCCCTTTTGACTAAATTGAAATTTAGATGATATTTTTATTTTTAATAATGAGAATATTCAGACTAGAATTTTCAGTAAGGGCTGGAGCATACGCTTTATAGACAGAAGCCCTGGGTTCTATCCCAGCACTGAAGGGTCCCCAAGTGCCACCAGGGAATGACCTCCAGCTCCAAATCAAAACAAGACAAAAATCTAGAATGAAAATTCTCAAGATGAAAAGTGTATTTATTACTCTATAGCTTCTATTTTACTCCAGATCATGATACAACACCTGTTATGCACAGATCATCATTACAATCTTTATCTGTTAACTCTGGTTTTATGACAAAAGTCACAAAGATAGGTTTCATTCCTGTGCCTACTGTGCCTTTTGTTGTAGAGAAAACCAGAAGGTGGTTTCCTTGCGTGCTTCCAGTAGATGGCGTTCATGTGGAAATTGGCTAGCAGATGTTTCTCTGGGGCTCTAGCTTAGATTGCTGGAAGTAAAGTCAGTGTTGGTGGCTTTCTGTGTTTGTTCCCAGAAGTTACATTTTATATTGATGCATTATTTTGTTTGTTTGTCTGTTTGGGAGTCTCACCTAAAAATCCTTAGGGGTTATTCCTGGCTTTGCACCTAGGAATCACTGCTTGCAGTACTCAAGAGACTTATATGGGGTGCCAGGGATTGAATCCCAGTTAGCCTCATGCAAAGCAAGCAATTTACTCACTGTGCTATCCAGCCCCAATTGATATGTTCACTTTAACCCCCAGGTGCCTGGGGGAGTTACAGGAAAAAGGAAGTAAGTTCAACAAATTCTTACTTGCTCAGGAGAGATTTGAAGTGGGCCTCAGGAATTGGGGGTGGGGGGATGCATCTTCTGACAAAGGAACCCAAGTGTGGTGGCAGGGATTGACTTCAGCTGTGGGAAGCATTCACTTCACCCCTGAGCTCTTTCCTGCAGGAGGAGGAGGATTTGGAAGTTATCTTCTGTATCAGCAGGCAAGTGTTCCAGGGTTCTCCTTATGTTCAAAGAAATTAGTGGGGTGAAGAGAGAATTCAGGGGTTGGTTGTGGGTCTTGCATACAGTCTACCGCATTTGATCCCTCGCAAGTGTCTCCGGAGTGTCACTGAAGGTAGCCCTGCAGTCACCAAGCACTACTGGGTATAGCCTTTATGTACTTCCTGTCCCTACCAACACTGGAATGGCCCGGGTAGCCCTAGGAAACCACAGGGCTTGAGCAACTCTGGCCAAATATCCGCGGGGGTCCCCACCACCACCCGGCCCACAATAGAATGAAAGAAATGGCACTTCCCTCCTCCTTCCAAGAAAAGGGCTCATTCGTACAAATCTAAATTTGATGGAGTTAGAATGGAAGAAACAGGTCATTGATGGTGAGAGATTAGAACTATAGAAATCTGAAAATGTTTTTATATGCTTGCCTACTCTTTCTCCATATAAGTACTTCTCTGGGGCTTTCTGAATTTGCCTGACACTAGGAAAAAACAAGAAAGTTAGAAAATAACTATAGTTCTTTTTATTATAACTAAATGTGGGCTGGAGCCATAGCACAGCGGGGAGGGCGTTTGCATTGCATGCAGCCGATCTGGGTTCGATTGCTCTATCCCCCTTGGAGAGCCCGGCAAGCTACCGAGAGTATCCTGCTCACTCGGCAGAGCCTGGCAAGCTCTCCGTGGTGTATTCAAAATGCCAACAACAGTAACAAGAAGTCTCACAATGGAGATGTTACTGGTGCCTGCTCGAGCAAATCGATGAACAACGGGAGGACAGTGCTATAACTAAATGTAACTATATAACATTTTCTCCTATTCTCAAATTTCTAACTGTATTTTTCATAATTAGGAAATTATGAGTTTTTGAAAATCTTTAAAATTTTATCATTTATAGCACTAGTCCTTCTCCCCAAATTAAAAAATGTTTAAAAGAAAGCATATTTAATACATTAAGAACTAATGTCCAAAAAAAAAAAGAACTAATGGTCAGGCTTGTTCTTTAAGCCTCTGTTCTCCCTTGATTATAAATCTCACTCACTTATCTTGTTTCTGCTTCTTGGCTGGCTTCTTCTATTCTGGAGAAATCCATATTCTCTCTTAAACATGTACTTTCTTTCTCTTTCCTCACTTCTTTCTTTTTTATTTATTTGTTTATTTATTTTTGTTTTTTGGGTCACACCCAGAGATGCACAGGGGTTACTCCTGACTCTGCACTCAGGAACTACTCCTGTGGTGCTCAGGGGACCATATGGGATGCTGGGAATTGAACCCAGGTCAGCCGCGTGCAAGGCAAACACCCTACCCACTGTGCTATTGTTTAGCCCACCCCCCACTTCTTTCTATGTAAGCTTCAGTCTATAAAACCTATCTTGCTTCTCTTTTAAAAAAAAAAGAAGAAAAAGTAATAGCCAGTTACCCTCCAAATTGCAGCACATCAAATATTCAATTCTATGAGCAAATCTTGTTACATACACACATATTTGTGTTCTCAAAGATTTACTAATCTTATAAAAGGTCTGCAGCTATGTCCATTTTTCACCCCTCAGAACTCTTTCCCACTACTAGGCTTTCTCTATAAGTTCACTCTCAGGAGTTTGGTTTAGTGCTGGTGTTTGAAGCCAGAGCAGGCAGGGTGCTTGTCTTATGCAGCCAACCTGGGTTCAACCCCTGGCACCCCAGATGATCCCCCAAGCTTGTCAGGAGTAAACCCTGAGCACTGCTGGGTTTGGCTCCAAAACAAAACAAGCAAAAAGTGCTGGCATTTACCAGGAAAGGGATGTACTGTTCCTAGGGAATATGGGGTGAAACCTCCCACTGTCCCACTGTACAGCTTGTAAACCTGTGAAAGGAGCCAGGCGCTGGACCGGTCTGCCCATCCGAGTCAAGGAGCTGCTGAAAAGTGGGGAGGCAGATGCACTCACCAAGCCTAAGTTGCAGGATCTATGCCAACTGCTGAAGGAGCATATGAGCTGGAAACGCGAGACTATGCGGAAAATACTGCAGGAATGGATAACTGACTGGGCTCTGAGTGAGTTAAGGGGGTCCTGGGATAATTATTTGTGAGGGGGAAGGGTCTGACTTTACACTAATGCTTTCAATCTTTGAAGACCCACTCCTGTGGGGCCAGAAAGAATATACTGGAGATAAAGCACTTGCATCCCACTGACCCTGGTTTGAATCCCTGACACTACATATGGTCCCCTGTGCATTCCTAAGGATCACTACTTGTCGGGGTCCTGGCCAATTGACTCCGGCACACTGTAGTAAATCCCCCAGAGTTGCTGGACTTATTCCCTATAGGACAGGGAGTGGGTAAGAGAAAAGCCTCTGCCCTGGCCCTCTGCGCACCACGGACTCCAGCCGCCTCAGAGAAAGAACCACACAGAGGGGGAAAAGCTGGTGGTCCATCAGCAATGCCTTTATTAGCTCTCACAGAGGGTTTTTTATACATACATTTCAGGGTGCAGTCCACGTGTATCACATTGACCTCCTCAGGCTCAGTGCAGATGTTAGTGATTTACACATCCAGCTCTCTGAACTGGGTGTATCAGCTCAGGCAAATGGTATCTGTTAACATCCCTCATCCTCAACCAGATTGCCCCCGTGTGGGGAGTGCTGGAGCAAGCCCCTGGGCCCCTGTGATCAGGGCTGGCTCTTGCTTTCAGGGGCAGGGGATTTGGTCAAAGTCTCAGGCTGGCTGCTGAGACCCCAACAATTACTGAGCACAGAGCCAGAAATAGTCCAAAAGCACAGGTGGCTGTGACCAACACACATGAAGATTTTTTTAGGGTATTTCCTCCTCTGTTGTCTCTTGACATTAGTTACAAATAGTATTTCAGGAAATAGAAATAGGTGTTATACTTAATATTACAATTCTACAACATAGTGGTCTTAAACCATTAAATTTAAGTCAGTTAGACCATGTTATCTAGACAGACAATGAAGTTACTTTCTTTGTTTTTCTTATTTCTTATTATTATTTATTTTTTGCTTTTTGGGTCACACCCGGCAAGGTACATGGGTTACTCCTGGCTCTGCACTCAGGAATCACTCCTGGCAGTGCTCAGGGGACCATATGGCATGCTGGGAATGAGACCCGGGTCGGCCGCGTGCAAAGCAAACGCCCTACCCACTATGCTATCGCTCTAACCCCATATTATTATTTGTATTATTTATTTATTTATTATTTTTGCTTTTTGGGACACACCCAGCAATGCACAGGGGTTACTCCTGGTTCATGCACTCAGGAATCACTCCTGGCAGGGCTCAGGGGACCATATGGGATGCTAGGAATCGAACCTGGGTCGGCTGTGTGCAAGGCAAACGCCCTACCCGCTGTGTAGGAGTACTGCTATTTGTTCAGCCACTGATTAAGCTGATTGAATTGGACATGAACTCCACATTACTTTTTTTGTTTTGTTTTAATTGTATCACCATGAGATAGTTACAAAGCTTTCCTATTCGAGATTTAGGCATACAATGATGAAACACCCATCCCTCCACCAGTGCACATTTTCCACCACCTACATCCCAGTCCTCACCCTGCCTCTGTAGCAGACAATTTCCCCAATGCTCTCTCTCTAATTTTGGGCATTATGTCTTGCTCAAAATTTCTCACCACCATTCAAGCCTCTCTGCCAGGGGCAGACGCTAGATAATTTCTTTTCTGTTGCTCATTTTAAATATCATGAGAGCTCACACGGCTGCAATTGTAAATGTAAATTTCTAGATTGTAAATGGTTGAATTTCAGAGACATTTCTGTATGGCACTAATCCATTTTGGAATTCAACTGGGAGTCTCTGAGCTGAACCAGGGCTGTTGGTGTGCTAAGATGGTGCCTGGAGGCTAATTGTGGGAATAACAGCCAGTTTGCTGGGCAGGTGGGGACCCGGTGAGGGACAGCCCGGGTCCTCTGCTGCTGTGCGGCCTGGAGAGTCAGTCCCGAAACCTCATACCTGGGCCTTGCTTGTGGAAGCTCTTGGTCACTGGGATTCCATCTGGAGTAGCTGGGGAGAGCACACCTGCTCTGGGTTGTCCCAGTGAAATTGGCTTGGTATGGGGCCTGGAGAGAGCTCCGGCACTGTGGTGCCTTCCAGGTCTTGCCACTGTGTCTCTGGGTCAGGGCTATTGTGCGATTTTGGATTGTGGAAGCAAGCAGCTGCTTGAGGCTCTGCTTGGGGGGGCCACCAGGCCAACCCCCCCCAATTTATCCTAGTCTGTTCAGCTATGTGCGTGTCCGAGATTAACTGTGGCTTTTGATCTCTTTCGAGATATATCTATGGGTCTCTAAAATAATGTCAATATTTGGTGTGTTAAGATTCACATTACAAAAATTTAAGCAGATTATATCTTGGTGAGGTCCATCTTGAGATGGTAGAGTCAGGCTGGAGGTGTGGCGGTGATTTTGGATTGTGCCAGGGACTCTGCTTGGGCGGACAAAGCCCAATCCAGTCCCCTCCAATTTACCCCAGTCTTTCAGCCTGGGGTAGATGCACAGGTCCTATCTTTTCTGTGGCTTTTGATCTCTTTTGGGATTTATTTAGGGGTCTCTGAAGCAAGGCCAGCAGTAGAGCTTACAGGGTGGCGCTGGAGTTGGTTCTTGGAGGTGAGTGCCAGTGCTTCCATGTATATTGGGAAGTGGGGGTAGGTAGCCCACCCCAACTCTGAGAAAGCCTGGAGATTTCTGCATAGCAGAATTTTCAGCAGATTATATCTTGGTGAGGTCCATCCTGAGATGGTAGAGTCAGGCAGGGAAATGTCCACAATTTTGAATTGTGGAAGCAAGTGGCTGTTGGATGCTCTGCTTGGGCGGGTCACCAGGCCAACCTGCTGCCCTCCGATTTATCCCAGTCTGTTCAGCTATGTGCGTGTCTGAGATTAACTGTGGCTTTTGATCTCTTTTGATATTTATCTATGGGTCTCTAAAACAATGCCAATAAGTGAGCTTATATAGCTGAGCCAGAGGTGGTTTGTGGGTGTTGCTCCCACATACCTAACTTTTGACCGTTTAATTTCTTGGAAAACTTGGTCCCAAGTTGTTGGGTTCTGGCCATAGGCACAGTGGCAATTTTGGGGTATTAGGAAGCATGAAGGCACCATCAGGTTGCTGATGCACTTGCCTCACAGGTACAGGTTGGCCTGCTGACGACACCATAACCCCAGTTACTTTCTATTATTTTTCTGATACTTAAAGATCATTTAAGCAGGTATTTAGAACTAAGACTCATTTATAAATTAATTTTGGTAATATACTACTTTATATAATATAATATTTTAAAAATATGAAAATCCAAAGGGATCAATAGAAACAGAAGTCTTAGTGCTTTGATTTAAATTTTAGCCATTTTATTTATTTTCTGTAGATGTGGAATATAACTTATGAACTTACACATCCTCCTTGTACATAGCAATCTTCTCTGTATCATTTCAACTATATTTGTGCTGCCAAAACAAGCCCTAATTTTAAAAAGAAAAAAGGACAAGCGCATTTAAACTCTTTTCGGTGATCTTCTCAGTTGTCTGAAGTCTTTCGCTATTAATATTTATAAAGACAGGGCCTTTAGAGATAGTATAGTGGGTAGGGCACTTACCTTACACACGGCAGACCTGGATTTGATCCCCAGCATCCCAGGACTAATTCCTGAGTGCATAGCCTGGCGTAATCCCTGAGTTTTGCTGTATGTGGCTTCAAAACAAAAACAAATTTGTAAAGACATAAGCATTCTTATTTGTCCAGTTTCTAAATAGTTTCTTCTCCTCCATCATAATAAGAAATTTCTTAAGTTTGCATTTCAGAAGATGGTCATTAGTTCTCAAAGGTGGGATGATAATAAGAAAGACGTGAATCTCAGGAGGACAAGAAAGAAGTGAATCTCAGGGGGCTGGAGCAATGGGAAAGCAGGCAAGGCTTTTGCCTTGGACATGGTTGACCTGGGTTCAATCCCTAGCATCCCACACGGTCCTCTCTGTACCTCCAGGAGCGATTCCTAAGTGTAGAGCCAGGAATAACCCCTGCAATTGCCACGTGTGGCCCAAAAACTGTCACTGTCACTGTCCTCCTGTTGTTCATTGATTTACTCGAGCGGGCCCAGTAACATTTCCATCATGAGACGTGTTGTTACTGTGTTTGGCATATTGAATACGTCACGGGTAGCTTGCTAGGCTTTGCCATGCGGGCGAGATACTCTCGGTAGCTTGCCAGGCCCAAAAACAACAAATAAAAAAAGAAGTGAATCTCAAAGAATTATCAGTTCATAGTTTTCCTGTTTAGAATGCAAAAACGTGCATTTTGAAAGTTCAAAAGAAGCCCCATCATTTCCCCTAGAAATAATCGAAGCTTAACATAGTTAAGAAAATATTTGCAGGGGCTGGAGCAATAGCACAGTGGGTAGGGCGTCTGCCTTGCACGCGGCCAACCCGGGTTCAATTCCCAGCATCCCATATGGTCCCCCTGAACACTGCCAGGAGTGATTCCTGAGTGCAGAACCAGGAGTAACCCCTGTGCATCGCCGGGTGTGACCCAAAAAAGCAAAAAAAAAAAAAAGAAAATATTTACATGGGGGGAATAAATAGTACAACAGATAGGACACTTGGCCTGTGTGCGGCCAATCAAGGTTTGATCCCTGGCACCACATGTGGTCTCCCAAGCCCAGTACAAGTAAGCACTGAGTGTTGCTGGATGTGCCTGCCCCTCCATCTGCCCAACAAAAGGGAAACATTTATCTGACAAAAGCAATGATGAAACATGTCCCAACTAAGTGGCAGGTGTACTCTAGGTGAGAGGGCATGGGAAGGAGTTGGACAGTGCTCATCTTAGGTCATTTTCTTAGAAACTTTGTTCCAGTTAACAGGAGTTAAAAAAAAAAACAACAGTACAATGTGAGACTTTTTGATAACAGTTAATAATGCCCTCTCTGTCTTTCCTAACCATCAGTAGGAGAGAGTAGAGTATTAATGTTCTTTATTCCCTTTTCTTTTTTTTTCTTTTTTTGGAGTGTGTGTGTGTGTGTGTGTGTGTGTGTGTGTGTGTGTGTGTGTGTGTGTTTAGGACACTCCCAGTGGTGCTCAGGAATCAATCCTGGTGGGCTCAGGGGACCATATAGAGTGCCAGGGATAGAATCTAGGTCGGCTGCATGCTAGGCAAAACACCCTACCTGCTGTACTCTCTGGCCCCTGTTTTTACACTCATAAGGAGAAGTCACATTTAGTTGGCATGGCCACAAAGGTGGTTTCCCAAGGGGAGGCTTTTCCATTGCACTCTGAATTGTGCTGACCCCTGCAATTGCCTCAAAAGTAAGAAACCCAATAGTCTAATGTGTGGTAGTGGTGGACTCGCCCGAGTTTACTGGGTTTATAAAAGCAGACATTTTTTCTAGTATTTCTTTTGTAGCTTTTAGTTGATTTCTAAATAAAACATGCTCCTCTGTGTTTTTATCTCTTGTTTCGCTAACCTGCATTAGCTCAGTGTTTAGAGTTTGTGGTGGTGATATTCCCAAGCAGGGGCCATCGGGGCCGCCTTGACAAAGCTCAGAGACCTCCAGAGCTGCAGCGGGGGCAAATGGTGCTGAGGATCAGGCTGGGCCAGGCCCATGTCTAACTCTGTGCTGTCTCCCCAGCCCATGAGAGGCTGTTATGTTTTTTCAGACTATAGTTCTTTCCAAAAAAGAAGAAACTTGGTAAGTGGTTGTTCTTTTACAGTCTGTGATAGAGCAGTGAGACATGCTACTTACTTTTTAACCTACAAGACTCATCCTGGCAGTTTGAGACAAGATGGAGTCTATTTGACTCAAAAGTTTTGTTTTTTTTTTTCTTTTTGGGTCTCACTTGGCAATGCTCAGGGGTCACTCCTGGCTCTGTGCTCAGGAATTACTCCTGGCAGTGCTCTGGGGGACCATATGGGATGCTGAGAATCAAACCCGGGTCGACCACGTGCAAGGCAAATGCCCTACCCACTGTGCTATTGCTCCAGCCCCTTGACTCAAAAGTTTTATGCCTGCATAGATAACAGTCAGAAATAAAATGAAGGCCTTGAAAATCATATGGAGGGGCCGGAGTGATAGTACAGCAGGTAGGACATTTGCCTTGCATGCAACCAACACAGGTTTGATCCCCGGCAACTCACATGGTTCCCCAAGCACCATCAGGAGTGATTCCTGAGTGCAAGCCAGTAGTAACCCTTGAACATTGCTGGATGTGACCCAACCCCCTACCCCCCAAAAAAATCATATGGAAGAGAACTCAAAGGTAAGAAAACCAGTGACAACCATCGTTAACATTTGAGCCCTCATTATCTGTTTTGTAACTCCTTTGTTCCCAGATTTCAACAATGAAGAGTTATTTAATTTTGGGGGGGGGGTCATGTACAAAGGTCTAAGGGCTTACTCTTGGCATTGTACTTACTCTTGGTGAGACTCAGGGAGCCTCATGTAGGATGTCAGTGATTGAACCCAGGTCAGCTGAATACAAGGCAAGTGCCCTGCCCACTGTACTGTTGCCCTTGCCCTGAAGACTTATTTATGTAAGAAATGATAGGTTACAGGAGGGGATAGGGAAGTTTGCTTGGGAACTGTACAAGAGGTAAATGGAATATAAGAAAAATTACTTTTTCTTCCTTCCTTCCCTCCCTCTCTCCCTTCTTCTCTTCCACTCGTCCTTCCTTTCTTGTGAAGCCAGATAATTTTTACTGAACTACATTTACTTATAAAGGCATGAGGGGAGAAGACCAGGAGGACTGTCCGTTGTAGAAGCTTTCCACAATGGGGTTAGGCTGCCCTAACTGGTCAGAGAAGGGACCGCTATGACAATGATCATGGGAAGTTCTTGGACAAGAACTGGGTGCTGAAAGAAGATAAAGTGGTATGCATGATACCCTTTCAGTAACAGAGCTGCAAAGCACAGTACCTGAAACGAAAAAAAAAAAAGTGTCTGCTGTAAAGGCAGACTAGGGGATGGGAGAGAAACTGGGAACATTGGTGGAGGGAAGTGGACACTGGTGAAGGGATGTGTGCTTGGCCATTGTACAATTGAAACTCGATCACAAACAACTTTGTAACTCTGTATCTCATGAAGATTCAATAAATTAAAATAAAATATATTTTTTAAAAAAGATGATAGAGAGAACATGGGCTTATGCAGGGTGAAAAAAAAAGTCAAAATATTTTTTGAGGGGCTGGAATGATGTACAGCAGATATTTGCCTTGCATGCTGCTGACCTGGGTTTGATCCTGACACTCCATATATACCTCTGAGCCCTGCCAGGAGTAAGCCCTGAGCATCACACATTTTGGTGTGGCCAAAATGATGTTTTTGTAATTCTGAAGCTCCCCATTGGTGCTGGGGGCCATCGGAATTGTACCCAGCAGTGCTCAGGAGGCCATGCAGTGCCAGGAATCTAACCTGGGGTCCTTTGTATGCCGATCTGAGCTCTGTAGAGCTTTGAGCACAGCCCAGAGAGCACATCTCTAAGAACTTATTTCTAAGAAAATAAGTTTATTCTTCTGAGCGATAGCGCTGCTTGAATTGCTCCAGGGGAAGGAGATTTCTGCAGCACAGTGTCTGAGGTGCTTCTCTGTTCTTCCCTCCCTGGACAGTCATTGAGTGGCGCCATGAGAAAATAAAGAGCTTGCAGAGGAGACTGGCGGATTTACACAGTAGCGTTCGGGTCCACGCCATCATCACATGCGCCATGGCGGCCTTAGAACGGCCCCGGGATAATATCTGCCAGGAGCACTCAGGTGAGAGTCAGCAAAATATAACAACTCAGAGCCATAGAGCACTCTTGGAGATGTTGAATCTTATTTAAGATGCTTTTATAAGTGAATATACACAGTTTGCTAGCAATAGATATGGGATTGAAAGTCATATCTATTGCTAAGGGAAAGCACTTGCTTGGAACATGACTATGGTTGTGGCTGTGAGCCTGGTTTGACTCCTCAGGATGCGCACTTCAGGGATCACTCATGAGCACAGAGCCAGGAGTAGTCGCAGAGCACCACTGGGGTGCCACCCTTCCCCACCTCAAAGAAAAAAACAAAACATTCTTTGGGTCAGAGAGATACTACAGCAGGTAAGGTTCTTGTCTGGCATGTAATTAACCTGGGTGCGATACCCAGCACCCCATGTGGTCCCTCCAACCCTACTAGGAGTGATCCCTGAACACTGAGCCAGGAGTAAGCCCTAAATGTCATGGGTGATGCCCCAAAACAAAAGATGAATTCTTATTATGTTATTTTGGAGAGTGAAGTTGGGCCACACCAGGCAGTGCTCGGGACTTTCTCCTGGCAATGTTAGGGGGACCATCTGGGCGGTGGGGATGGAGCCTAGATTAACTGCATGCAAGACAAGAGCTTTATCTGATATACTAGATCTCTGGCTCCTTTTTTTAAAACATTTTATTTTAGTTTGCAGGGAAGAGTTTGGGCCATACCTGTTGTGCACAGGGTTTATTTCTGATTCTGATTCTCTGTGCTCAAGGATCACAGCTTAGAGGACTATATGCAGTGCTGAGGATTGAACCCACCAAGGAGAAGGGATTTATTTGTTTGTTTTTTATGTCGCATCTCTGTTGTTCAAAGTTTACTCCTGGCTCTGTGCTCAGAGATCTCTCCTGGAAGTGCTCAGGATATCATATGGTGTTCTGAGAACCAAACTTGGCGTCAGTCACATAGAAAGCAAGCACCCTACCCACTATACTGTCTCACCAGGCCTGAGATGGGAATTTTGTTTCTGGGGCTAGGGATGTGGCTCAAGTAGTAGAGCACATGCCTTGTATGCGTGAGACCCTGGGTTTCATCCCCACATGTCCTCCCGCCTAGCATTGCCAGGTTTGTCACTGGTGGTCTGAGTTCATGCCAGGAATGGCCTGTAAAGTAGAAAACGAAATCTTGACTGCTGAGCCCATAACTTTTGTGCTACATTTCATCTTATTTTGTTTGTTCAGTAGCTTGTTGAGAAGTTCACACTTTGAGAGACCTTATTCATAGTAACCAAATATTTTATTTCAAAAATATTTGAAGTATAATTCATTATATCTCAGAAATTTCAAAAATAGAGTCTAGGACCAGAAGATAATACAGGAAGTAAGGTACTTGCCTTGCATGTGACTGACCCTGGTTCAAATACCTAACACCATTTGATCCAGAGACATAGCAGGGAGTCCCAGAAGACAGAAGCTCATGGGAGATCTCTCTGGACCCGGTACCGAGCCAGTTCCACCAGGGCATCTCAGATGGAGTGGGTGTCCCAGCTCCACCCGCTCCAGATGAAACCCTGATGGCCACGAGCTTCCAGAAGCAAAACTCAGGTACGCGGGTTCAAGGACTAAGACTCCTGGCCACATGGTGGCAGCAGAGATTGGCCGTCCCTTCCCATGACTCTGCCTGCTCAGGGTCTTGCCCACAATCTGCCTCTAGGTACCATTTTAGTGCATCAAGGCCTTGATCCAGAGACTCCCAAATGAATCTCAAAATGAATTAGCTCCGTACAGAGATGTCTCTGTACACCAACCATTTACAATTTTAGAATTCCAGAAGTGTGTGGCCACAAATATTAATAATAAGCAATAGAAAATAAATTATCTAGCATCTGCCCCTGGCAGGCAGGCTTGAATGGTGGTGGGAAAATTTGAAATAATGGTGTTGGGAAGGTGAAATGGTGGTGGGATTGGTGTTGAAATAGTGATTATAATCATAATGTGAACAACCTTACAAAAATAAAATTTTGAAAATATAATAAAAAAAAGATGAAAAAGAAAAAAAAACCTGACAACACACATGATCATTGGAGCACTGCCAGGGGTCACTACTGAGCACTCACAGGTGTGGCCCCAAACCTGCTCCCCACCAATATGTAGTCAACAGAGAGGAATATTTCTTCATCCAACTCCCTTCCAAGTGTCTGAGCCATCCCATCCTATGCCATATCCCAGAATAATCAAGGACTATAGTTTGAGATTCTATTTCTTTTTCTGTGAATTTTAAAATGTATGTTAATTTATATGGGCATTTGTATTTATTTTTTAAAGAATTTCCATTTAATTTGTGGGTACAAATAATTCTGTTAAATTATTACAGCAAATTCTAATGGATCAATCACCTTTATATGATTCTTTTACTACCCCACTGAGTTTGAGTTAACATTTTGCAGCATTCAACAGTAAAATGAGTAGTTTTTCCATCTCTGAGAGCAGACATTAATTTCCTGAGGTGTTGTTTACAGACTGGTTGTAATGGGTAAGAATTAAAAACAACTCACTCTGCTTGTACCTCAAGCCCCTGCCCCCTGCCTTTTTTTCCTGACCATGAGCTTGTGCTCAGAGCTTATTCTTGCCTTTGTGTTCAAAAACTTTCCTTCTTTTGAAATTTTATTATTTTAAAGTTGTTCACGATGATTCATTACATTCAATATTCCAACACCAATCCCACCACCATTATTTCCAATTTTCCCAATCACCACCCACGCCTTCCTTGATAGCAGGCCTTAAATAATTTATTTTGCATTGCTTGTTATGAATCATTCACTAAAAACTATCAGAAAACATTTTTTAGAAAAAAGCGTGAAGATTGTTATATCTCACCCGGAGCAACTAGGCCCTTGTATGAGATTACTAACATATTACAGTTTAAGTCTCATGTGTTAATATTTTCTTGATCAAGATTGGTTGCCTTCTACTTTACATCCCATCCAATATTGTGTGCTACTCCTCCGTCCCTCTCGGAGAGCCCAGCAAACTACCGAGAGTATCCCGCCTGCACGGCAAAGCTTGGCAAGATCCCTGTGGAGTATTTGATATGCCAAAGAAACAGTAACAAGTCTCACAATGGAGATGTTACTGGTGCCTGCTCGAGCAAATCGATGAACAATGGGAGGACACTGCTACAGTGCAGTGCTACTCCAATATTATATGCTATTTGTGGTGTAGAGTATGAGCTATCACACAGCTGCAAATGTGGCAATGCATTCCATAATTCTAAAATTTTGATGGGGTGATATAGTAGAAGTTAAATTTTTTCACCGGATGGTGAGTTTGGGGTCCAGAGGCATCTCTGAAGCTTGTTGCTCTCTTTTGAGATTTATTTATAAATCTCTGGATCATGACCTGTTAATGAGCTTATATGGCACCAGAGACAGTTCATGGGTATGACTGCCAGGTTCCTGGAAGAACAGAGGGATGGGAAGAGCTCACTCATCCCCCATTCCACCTCCGTTAGAGCCTGGAGATTCTCAAGCACCTTCCTTTTATGTACCCTCTACACACCTCTTTTTCTGTTTGGTTTGGTTTTGGTTTTGGTACAAACCATGAAGTGCTCAGGACTGACTCCTGGCTCTGCACTAAGGGATCACTCCTTCTGGGGCTCAAGGGACTACATGTGGTGCCAGGGATTGAACCCCTGTTGGTCATGTGCAAGGCAAGCACCCTGCTTGCTGTACTGTCTCTCTCTCTCTCTTTCTTTTTTTTTTTTTTGGCTTTTTGAGTCTCACACCCAGCGATGCACAGGGGTTACTCCTGGCTCATGCACTCAGGAATTCCTCCTGGCGGTGCTCAGGGGACCATATGGGATGCTGGGAATTGAACCCGGGTCGGCCACATGCAAGGCCAATGCCCTATCCACTGTGCTAGAACCACTATTATAACCTTGTAACCTTGTCCCATTATCTTTCACATTTGAACACAAAGAACACCTGTCTTCTCCTAGGTCATTCCTGTGAGCCCTTTCACATATGCTGGGGGTCTCGATTGGTATTTGTCTTGCTTCCTCCCCAAATAACATTATGTTACTCATTATTTCTTAAAATACTCGACTGACCTCTATTTCTTGCCTTAAAGTTCCCACCTTGCCTTTCTTTAACTGATGGCATAGTGGCCCACAGTAGTAAAAGGGCAGATGATCAGAAATTCTAAAAGTGGGGCTGAAGAGATAGTACAGCCAGCAGGGCACTTCCCTTGAGTGCGACTGGCCTGGGTTCGAGCCCTGGACCCCCATATGGTCACTTGAATACTGCTGGGAGTGATCCCTGAGCACAGAGCTCTGAGCACTGTCAACTGTGGCCCCCCCAAAAAAATTTTGAAATGTTAGTAACAGATCTGGCTCTACTGCTTACTATGAAGTCAGTTATTATCTGAATTTCAAATTATTTATCCAGAAAATGACGATAGTTTTGGACAGAGTTTGCAAAACCTTTTCCTTATTTATTTTATTTATTTTGCTTTTGAGGTCACACCCAGCAATGAACAGGAGTTACTCCTGGTGGTGCTCAGGGATCATATAGGATGCTGGGAATTGAACCCAGGTTGGCCGCATGTAAGGCAAGCACCCTACCTGCTGTGCTATTGCTCCAGCCCCTTTCCTTTTTTCAAACAAGAAAAATATCTATATATACTTTTCAGCCAGTTTAGATCTTTGAGGGGTACAGCATCACATGGATTCTGTGATCAATCATGTTAGCAGCAAGGTTGCTTTGGAATTTGGCTGGATGCTACTGTTTCCATGGGCATGGGTTACCTTTCCCAAGGTCACTCTGATTTGGTTACCTTTGCCACCAGGAGTCATTGTATTGTTCTTTATGGAAGTACATTGCCCAGATAGAATTCAGTTTTATCCTGAGCATAAACACTTTTTTTTTGCTTTTTTTCTTTGGGGGATATGGGGGTCACACCCGGCAATGCACAGGGGTTCCTCCTGGCTCATGCACTCAGGAATTACTCCTGGAGGTGCTCAGGGGACCATATGGGATGCTGGGAATTGAACCCGGGTCGGCAGCGTGCAAGGCAAATGCCCTTTCTGCTGTGCTATTGTTCCAGACCTTAACACTTTCAATTTTTAGAAGACCTGTGCACTCCCTCTGGTTCCAGAGACTGCTTATAGCCAGCACAATGGCTTTGGACCAGTGTGCCAGACATTTCTGTTGTTTGATTATTCCAGGCCTCCACAAGAATCCCAAAACCTTTTCTTTTCATGGAGAATATGAACTTTGGTCAAATGCCCACCTCTTTCCCTGGTAACCTGATGACAGAAACTTTATTATAGCCAACACTGCTTGTGATGAAAATGAATAGTACAGCCCATTGACATGGTAAGGTACCTTGTATACAGCTGACCTGGATTCAATCTCCAGCATCCCATATCGTCTTCCCGAGTCAGGAGTAAGGCCTAAGTAGCACTAGATGATAGGGATGGGAAACTTTGGGCTTTCCTGAATGCTCTGAAATTTACCAGGCATGCCCTTTATAGGTCCTGGGATTATATCCATGGAGATTCTACAAAAGATAGGACAGAGATAGTTCGATGTGCTGTAGTGCAGGCTTGCACATAGGTGACCATGATCAATCTCTGGCACTTCATGGTCCCCCAAGCACTGCCAAGAATGACTCTCCAAGTACTGGGAGGAGAGTGGAGAGAGAAGAGAAAGAGTGAAAGAAAGAGAGAGATTTCTGTAGAATATAATAGTTGTCCCCAGAGTGGATTCCATAATCCTTAATCTTCGGCTATTCCAGAAGTCTTTGTGGAATGTTACATAAACCTCTTCAAGAATCCTGGCCAAAATAAATGCCTGATGTTGCTCTGTTGGCAAATCCTGCTCCCCTCTGATGTCCTGACAGATGTTCATACAGACTGGTGCTATCTGTGGCCTATGAAAGTCTTAACAGTCTGAACACTTGAACAAAAAAGATGTCCGTACCTCCCCTATTTCAATGAAAGTTGGAAGACCGAATGAGTGACTATAAAAAATACTATGTGAAAGATAAAATATTAACTAAACTTTATTATTGTTACAAATACACAAAAAAGGGGGCCCTAAGCACTGTTTGGGAGCCACCTTCCCACCTCACCAGAAAAAAAAAAGTTTATATTCATTATTGAAACTTGTGGAAGGTCACCATAATGTAACTAGACACCTTCTTCTTTGGCTTGAAGAAATGATGGCCTTTTAAGAGGTCAGAAGACAATAGATTGGGGCCAGAGAGATTGTACAGCAGCTAAGGTTCAGTCAAACTGGGTTCAGTCTCCAGCAACAGATATGGTTCTTATGCCCACTCCCACTCCCACCCCCGTTCCCAGCACTGCTGGGAGTTATCTCTGAGTACAGAGCCAGGAGTAAGACCTGAGCACAGCCATGTGTGGCCCCCAAACAAGCAAAAGATCAGGAATTGGCATACCGAGATCAATGGAAGTGAGTTGTAAAAGCCTGCCTGTGGCAGGATCCTGCTCAGCAACATTGAAGGGTAAGTAGCAAGCACTTGCAAATGAGACTGAGTTTAGCCACCCTGCAGCTACAGGAAGGAAGCCGTTCCAGAGAGAGGTAAGAATCCTTCCTTTCTTACCTGGCTTTCTTCTGATTATAGCCAGGAAGGAGACGAAAGCTTTACCTCGCCAGGATTTGCCAGAGGTTCTATATCCTGCCCTGGAAGCTACTCTCAGTGATACGAATGTCAATGTGCAGTTAGCAGCAGCATTATGCCAGTGTGCCATACGGTCGCATAACCCCCTTGCCCAGGATATTATGCAGACAGCCGTTCTGAAAGGTTAGTAATTCCAATACTACTGGCCTGTGAATATTGGTTACCGAAGGCATCTCACACTGATTTCCCCCAGTTCTTTCTTTTCCACTATTATCTCTGTAATGTCTACATGAGATTATGTCAGAATCATCAGATTAGCTCTTTCTATGTACTTTTACAAAATAGGTACACTGCTACTAAATGTACCTGAGCTAAGGGTTTCCTAGGTCCAGTTGACTAGAAATCACACATATCCCTTTTTTTTTTTCCTTTTTGGGTCACACCCGGCGATGCACAGGGATTACTCCCAGCTCTGCACTCAGGAATTACTCCTGGCGGTGCTCAGGGGACCATATGGGATGCTGGGAATCGAACCCGGGTTGGCCGCGTGCAAGGCAAATGCCTTACCCGTTGAGCTATCGCTCCAGCCCCACATATCCCTTTTAAAAATTTTTATTACTGGGGTTGGAGAGATTGTACAATGAGTAGGATGCCAATTTGGGTTTGATCCCTGGCACCCCCTATGCTTTCCTGAGCCTGCCAAGAGTGATACTTAAGCCATAAGTAAGCCCTGAGCATAGCAGGGTCTGGCCCAAGAACCAAAAAAAGAATTTCATTAGCATAGGGGCAAGATAGATAATAGAAGAGGTAAGGCATTTGCCTTACATGCAGCCAATCCTAGTTCAGTTCCCAGCAGCACCATATATGGTTCCTGAGTGTTGCCAGGAGTGATCCCTGATTACAGAGCCAGGAGTAAGCCCTGAGCACCGCCAGGTGTGACCCCAAAACCTAAAAGTGTAAAATAAAAATTTTATTATCATTAAGGTAACCTGGTTTACATTAGTGGTAATATTTATGCTTTAAGCATACATTACTGTACCAAAACCACAATGCCAGTATCTTTCCACCAGTCCCTGGGTCCCTTCTCAGCTACTCATTCCCTTCTCCTCGTCCTCCTTTCTCCCCAACCCACCAAACCCCACCCCACTCTGGTATCAGAAGCTAAGGGCTTGTTTTTACAGAGCATTATCTAGTCCTTTGCCTACTTTCTTTTACCACATATGAGTCACTCTTACTACATATGCTTACTCTTACTACATATGTGCACATTGGAGTACCACATCCAGTATTTGTCTTTTTCCTTCTGACTTATTTTATTAACATGATACCCTCTAGTTCTGTCCATGATGTAGCAAAATGCAAGTTTTCATTCTTTCTTATAGCTGAGTCTTATTCTCTTGTATTCTATGTACTCATCTCTCGTTGGGCACTAGGGCTGGTTCCAGATCTTGACTATTGCAAATGGTGCTGCAGTGAACACAGGGAAACCACATGCCTTTATAAAACAGGATTTTATTTTTAAAAACGAAGTAACAATATTGAATATCACTTAAAACGTTTTTTGCACATTTTGCACAGTGATTTACAGGTACTGTCCACATGCATTGTTGGAGTAACACAATCAAAATGGCTTGGCCAGAAATAAGACCAAGATCTAAGAGACGCACCTGCTGGGAGTGGGGAGACATGGTGGATGGGGAGGGGAGGAGCAATAAATAACCACCACTCCAGGCTTTCTACTCTCAGGTGAGGACACATTGCCATTCTGGATGCCTTTTTCTACCCCGCTGTGGCAGGTAACAGTGTGAACAGTTGGGCTGCGGCTCAGTGCTTGGCTCTGGAAGGTGTTGCCACATACCCAGTGATTAAGCGGATCCTCTATCAGCTGTTTAACAAGAAGGACAAGAACATCGAGCAGCATTCATGTTTGCTACTGCGCTATCTCAATAAGAAGACAGTATGTGTCCATTACAGGGTCAGAAAATAAAAGTTTGGGGTCTTTGAGGTCAGTGTATATGGTTGGGAAAATGTGGATGGTTGAGTAGGATGATCTCAAGCACAAGATAAATCTAAAGTGTGGGTGAACTGAAATGTGTGTGTGTGTGTGTGTGTGTGTGTGTGTATTCTCATATATATTAGGGAATGACAACAGCTGAAAGATCAAAAGTAGGTTGCCATTTGGGGGGGGGGTGCGGGGTCCACACCTGATGATGTTTGGGGATTACTCCTGACTCGGCACTCAGGAATTACCCCTGGGAGTGCTCAGGGGACTCTATGAGATGTTGGGAATTGAACCCAGGTTAGCCGCATGAAGGGCAAACCTGCTATATTATCTTTCCAGCCCTCACCAATATTTTCTTTTGCCAAAAATGAACATCTCATGTCCCCTTGTGACATTATGATGGATGCCATGTTAGGATGAAACTTCACTGTCCCCCCCTTCCCAACAATGAATATTCACATAATACTGAACTATTCCATTTCCTCAGACACTGATCAACACCTTGCTGGCCATAGAGCTGAACAGTGGTAACTGGAAGGACCGGGTTGTGGCCTGCCGAGTTCTCGCCCAGATTAATAAAGATGTCAGTTTGGTAAGTCTTCTCGTTAGCCCTCCCCACAACAGAAAACCTAAGCAAAACTAGGCTAGTAAGCTCTTCCGCTACTTGCTACTATTGAATCCCATTGGTACCAAAATACTATCCCTATACTGCTACCTCTTACTCCTAACCCAGAATTATTCTCAAATACCCCACATCTGGGGGCCAGAGAGAGAGTACAGCAGGCAGGGTACTTGTTTTGCATACAAGCAATCTGGGTTCAACCCACAGCATCAAAAATGATCCTCCAAGTACCTTGGTTAGTATGGTACCTTGTGGGTCAAAGCAGGAACTTAGAAAACAGACTCAGGTCTGAGTCCTGGCTCCAGCACACAACAGTTCAACCATGGGTAAGTGACTTTGAGCCTTCATTTAGTCATCCATGAAGGGATCTCTGCCTCACTGGATTGTTTGGGGGAGAGTAAGTTATGGGTGGAAATATTTTAACACAGTGCTGAGTACACCACTAACAATAAAAGGTACTGTTGTACCTATTGATAGGATATCAAACATAAGCTTATCCATCTAATGTGGAGTGACTGGAATAAGGAGGTGAGACAAACAGCTGCTCATGCTCTGGGACAAATGAAGCTTGGTAAGGAAGTACATGACGCAATCAGGTAAGACCTACTCACAGAAATGAAGAAACTTCTCTTTCAGAAAGTATTCAGAAAGAGGGGCTAGTAAGATGGTATAGCGGGTAGGGCACTTGCCTTGCATGCAGTCGACCTAGTTTTTATTCCCAGCACGTCATATGGTCCCGAGTCCCTTCAGGAGAGTGACTGAAACAGCTGGTGTAAGCCCTGAGCACTGCCAGGTGTGGCCAAAAGATAATACAAAAGTTTCTAGGGAACCGAGGAAGGATACAAAGGGCTGGTGTGCATACTTTGCATGCAGGTTCAATTCCCAGGCACTGCATCTTCCCTGGAACTAGGAGCCACCTCCAAGCAACTTACTGGAAATAGCCCCAGTGCCACCAGTTGTGGCTCCAAAACAAAAACATGTCCTGGTGGCTGGGGAGCCAGTCAGCCATATGTTAACTTGTTCTCTATGCTCAGCACTGTTCTAGGTCTCTTTGTGGGAATTTTTCAAAAAAATGAATGTTAGCAATCTCTACAGACACGAACCATGTGGCTAACAATTCATCAGTTGAGTTCCCCCAAGGTATCATGCACTGTTTTGAAGTTTGAAGGATTTGAAAAACCTGTTGCTGGGAGCTCAAGTACAAAACTGAGCATGGCACATTTGAAGGCAGTGAAGAAGTGGCCTTGTCTATGACAAGATATTCAGTTTCCTCTTTTTTTTTTCCATTTTTAGAAAACAATTTTATTGGTTCACGGTAGGATAGACCATTACGAAGCTGTTCATGATTAGATTTCAGTCATAAGGTATTCCAATTATTTTTTTTTTTTGATGTTCAGTTTCTTTTTTCAGTCATTCAGCCTAGTACCTAGTGATTGCTAGGTAATAGGGGTTCAAGTAAATCTGACAGTTGATTTCTACCTGCTGAAATATAACCTAATGGGCATAAGGTTGACTAGAAAAGGGTAAGACAGATCATTCAAGAGCTCATAGAGGTTGGATTTTATCCCAAGGGTAGCGAGAGTAAGCGGGGGGGAAGAGGGCTGGGAATGACAGCCAAAGTTTAAGAAGGGAAATAAAAATGTCTGCGGCTTACAGAGTGAAGCTGAGTCAAGGCACTCCCCAAGACCGTGTGAAAGCCCTCACCCTGATTGGCAGGCTCAAGCTCATGACCGCCAAGCTTCTCCCACACTTCCTAAACTGCTTCTCTGATGAGTACGTGGCAGTTCGGCAGGCAGCCTGTTTGGCAGCTGGTGCCCTGCAGATCCACGATCAGATGGTAAGTCAAGGAAACACATTCCCATCTTACCTGATTCTCCCAGAGGCCAGTCCCCTGAGCTTCTCTTGTTGTACTCAGTCTTAGTGACCATTCTGTCGGGACACACGAGACCAGAATCAGGAAGATAGGGGGTGGACAGGCCACATCAATAGTCAGGATCACATATGGCTCCTATCATTGAAGCAGTCCACACTGTACTCTGGAACACATCCATGAATTCACTTCTCACCTCAGTCAACTAGCTTACTTTAGTACATGGGCACTGAGGGGTTTGAGGATCAACTCCAGTGACTCAAGTTATAATCCCTAGTTGTTTTGGGGAAACCTGGAAGAGGTACAAAAAAGGAGCTATATAGTCACAGATCTGAGAGCTGAGGACATCAATCTATGGAGGTAATTTAGTTAATTTACTATTTTTGCAGGTTAGTACTTTAGGCTCTAGTACTAATCTTTCAGTTAAAGCACACTTTATCTGAAACAAGAGGCCTCCCTGCCTCTGGCTTATTCTTGCTTTGTTCTTTGCCATTGAACTGCCTTTTATCCATTCCAGGTTCGTACATGCCTTCTGAATCTGATAGAGAGAGACCCTTACTGGAAAATCAAAGCCTTTGCCATTCAAGGTATTACAAAAGTGACCCCAGTTCTTCAACCTCAGATACATTCCCATATGGCAGTATAGATGATTCCAGCATTTCTCTAGGAATGAGGTGGAATGTAGGGAAAAGGATGATCACAGCTCTTTAGAAGTTCCTTGCCTGAGAAATTTTTCTTTTAAAAAATTTAAGGGGCCAGAGTGATAGTACAGCAGGTAATGTGTTTGCCTTGCACACAGCCAACAGGATTCAATCCTCAGGATCTCATATAGACGCCCTGAGCACTGCCAGGAGCAATTCCTGAGTGCAGACCCAGGAGTTACCTAAGCATGGTTGGGTGTGACCCAAAAAGAAAAAAAAAATAATGAAACAGGCCTGGAGAGATAGTATGGTGGGTAGGGTACTTGCTATGCATGCAGCTGACCCTGGTTCAATCCCCAGCATCCCATATGATCCCCTAAGCTCTTCCAGGAGTGACTGTTGAGTGCAAAGCCAGGAAGCCAGGAGTATCCTGATTTGCCATATGTGGCCCCCAAACTTTTTTTTAATGTAAAAATAAATGAAAAATCCTGATTTCAGGGCCAGAGAGATAGTAAAAGTAGGGTACTTGCCTTCCACACAGTTCCTTCAATCCCTAGCATCCCATATGGTTGCCAGAGCACTGCCAGGATTAATTCCTTAGTGCAGGATCCATGAATGACCCCTGAGAATTGTCAGGTGTGGCCCCCAAACAAACAAGAATCTTGAGTTTAGTTCTGTCATACTTGTTAAGGAAAAGGGTTAAGACAGCCCTGCTAATAAAATCAGGTTAAGTTGGGGCCAGAGACACAGTACAGCAGTATTTGTCTTGTAAGCAGTCAACCTGGGTTTGATTCCCAGCACCCCCTATAGTAGCCCGAGTTTGACAGGAGTGATTGCTGAGCAGAGCCAGGAATCAGCCCTGAGCATCACCAGATATGTCACCCCCCCAAAAAAAAACCCCTTTTAGCACAGAATTAGAAGTTAACATAAGATCTCCATTATTAGATACACTTGCTTTCTCTGAAGTTTCAACTATAAAACTCAGTGAGACCAGATTCAAAAATCTGCCTTTCAGTTTGGAGAGCATGATCCTAATACTGAGCTAGCTCCCTGGTTCCCTGCTTTCCAATTTGTTTCTTTTTAGGGATCTTTGCCAGTGCCTCTCTCTCTGAGTCTCTGGCAGTTACCTAACAGAAACAGTTCTCGGTAATCTATTCACTAATTTTGCCTTCCCCTGATGAATCTGCTTTATATAGACAGGTCTTCTGAGTTATCTGATTTAATTATCATTCCTAGACAAAAAGGTAAATATGTGTATTCTCATATTCTAATGGACTCAAGAATGTGAGATACCATCCTAGGAGCCCTTGAGAGATAATGCCCTTCTACTCTCTAACTGGTTTCTGTTCTCTTTCGAATGGTCATCTCTCTTTCTTTCCTATCTTTCCCTCTCTCTCTCTCTCTCTCCTTTCCTTTCTTTGTCTTTTTGGGCCATACCCAGTGATTCTCAGGAGTTACTCCTGACTGACTCAGGAATTATTCCTGTCAGTCTCGGGGGACCATATGGGATGCCAGGGATCAAACCCAGGTCAGCTGCATGTAGGGCAAGCACCCCACCCACTGTACTATAGCTCCAGTCTTCTGGCCATCATTTCTAATGGTAACTGTCATCTAAAAGAGACTCTCTAGACAAAATACTTAGGTTAGCATTTATAATACTTGATTTACTAAAGGGCTGCCTATACCTGACTTCTAGGATATAGCTTAGTCCTAAGTGACTGTGGAACTTTTTACCCTCTAATTTCTGCAGCAATGGTAAAGATTGGTCAAGTGAGTCCCCAGCTGACAGACCTCCTGCTCTGGGCTATGCACTATGAATCGCCACCAGGTGTACGACTGGAAGCCTGCCGTAGCATCATAGCCCTCAAAATTCAGGGGAATGAGGTCAGGGATACCTTCCTACATGTGCTTCTGCTAGAGGAACATGATGCTATTGTAAAGTAAGCAAAGAACCTGATTCCTGCCACAACCTTACACGCTGTTCTTCCATCCTTGTGTTAACAGACTATAAACCTGCCTTTCCAGGCCGCCCAATGTCTTAAAAAATGCAGGTTCACTTCTGCTGTTCATCTATTTACCCAAGTGGGAAACAAAACAATTAAGATTGAAATTAGCCTAAATTAGATTGAAAGTCAGAAGTATGTGGTTCAGGCACCTGTTCTTCATCCCAGGTGGCTTCAAGGTATTTGTTTAACCAAGTAGCATTTATCAAGTTCCTATTCAGTGATGAAACTTTAGAGTTAAAGAAAAAAGACATTTTAACTCCCAATCAAACATATTATCAATGTGAATTTGGGTAAGTTACTTAAAACTTCTGAGCTCACTTTTCGAACTCAGATAGTAGTTTTACCTTATGGGTTTGCTGGATTAGTGAGATGACATGTGTAGTACATGTTATAAAGCTGCTCATAAGAGGTAACTAGTAGAATTTTCTAATAGATCTCAACTATACAATGTCTGTATAAACTAACCATCATACTATTTTTGAAAGTCAGCAAAACTGGAGTTAGAATTGGAATTCAGGGTTCTTTTCTGATCACAAATTCTGCATTTTCCACTCACACAACCTCCATGCCATCTTTAAGGATAGAAAGAACAATCTAAAAGTCTTATCTTTCAGAGAAATTCATAAGGCAATGAAGGTGCTCAAGTTAGAAAATGATGAAAACCAAGAAATGATTCAGAACATCAAGAACAGGGTAAGCAGAGATAAGTACGTACAAGTTGTTTCTTCATGAGAAAATTCATGGATTACAGGAGTTCTTTTAGACAGTTTCCCCCTAAATATATAACCCTTGCCCCATTATAGCAACACTTTCTACAACCTGACATTAGCACTTGAAGACATACAACATCTGTGCAAAACAAGATTATAATATAGTATTGGGGATACATCTCAGTAGTAGAGTGCTTTAGTTTTCAAATCTTGTTGGCTTTTGGGCCACACCCAGTAGTAATCTCAGGGATCACTCCTAGTGGGCTGGGACCATATGGGATGCTGGGGATCAAACCTGGGTTGGCTGCATACAAGCCAAGTGCCTTACCCTCTGTACTATTGCTCTAGTCCCAGAGTGCTTTGCTTTATATGTGAGGCTCTGCGTTTAATCCCCAGCACAGAAAGAGAAAAAAGTCTTTTAGGCGTCAGAGAAAAAGCTCAATGAGCTAGGTGTAGGTTTAGCATGCCAGGAATGAGCCTCAACACAGAACAGGAAACAGAGCAGTAAACCCCAACACTGGGCATCATGAAGCCTGGCGTAAAACCAAACCCCAAACTAAAAAGCTTTTAATCTGATCAGGTAAACCCTTAAAATCAGTTTGTCATGTTTATTTCTTGAAATACTATTGCCTTCCCATTTTCTCTCATAAACTAAATGCATTTTTTTTTAGTTCTTTTGGATAAAGATAAAATTTTCCTTAATTCCTAAGCTGAGCTCTTTCACTGAAGAAACTCTACCCTAAATTAGAATAAGTAGTTCTAATTTTTCAAAGCACTTAAAGTAGGACTTCATAAAGGTAATCTTCCTTCAGATAATTCACAAAAACAACTTCACATCAAGTATTGGTATTTCTTAGGCGGTTCCTTTCACATCAAAAAAGCTAAAGCAAATCTTTCGTTAACAGGGATAAAAATGCTCAACCAGTATCACAACAGAACAATGTGCATAGCCATTTATGAACCGTTTACTGAGAAGCACACAGCACTCTTTTATGACTTGCAGGTTGATAGTTTTGTTCAGTGTAATTTTTTCTGATCTAGATTCAAGCACTAAGCCAAAAAGACTTGTTGACAGAGAAAATAGTCAAGATTGAAGCAGCCATAAAAAGAGTGAAAGGAGAAGCAACACGTGTTTACTTCCCACCCAGCGCAGGCCAAGAACCACAGAAATTCCAAACTTTTCTCCAAAACACTCTTCAGGGTAGGTTTTTGGTTAAGCCCTATACCTTGGCTCTTTCAACAAGCTTTTCCAGGATCTAAATATTTAGGGAAATAGTTGGCAGCCCTATGGAATGAGAACCAAGAAAGATTACTTTCCTTCCCTTTTGACCACCATCATCTTTGTTTGATTTTGAGGGTTCTATTTGCCCTCCCCTATTCCTCTTGTCCAAGCTCTTTGGTCCCATTTAAAAAAAAATGCAGGGTTAGAGAGACAGTACAGGGTTTAGTTAGGCACTTGCCTTGCATTATGTGCAGCCAACACCGAGTGATCCCTGAAGAGAATCTAGGAGTAATCCCTAAGCACCACTAAATGTGACCCTAACCCATCCCACTACCCAAATAAATGCAGTGGCTTTTTTTGAATTGTTTTAAAGGGTTAAAAAAAATTCACAAAAATCTAAAAAGAAAAAGCCTTGTAAGCTTAACTTTCAATAGTGGGCATCTATGGAAAGTGAAGCCACCATTTTTATTTTACGTACAACGATGCTTTTGCAACTTAAAAAATCTTTTAAAGTTCCCATTCATAACAAAACCTACCAGTTCTGTTAATGAAATCTTAAAGATTACAAATATAACCTTGATGATGAGGTGCAGACATCAAGCTGTAGCAAAATATACTTCCAAAATCTGTGTGCCCAGATCCAGCATCAACCTCGGGTCACTCAGACAGCTGCCTCCTAGCCACCACCCCAAACCAAACTGCTTCCAAGTCCAGTGCTCTCTCTGGTACACCAGGCTCTTTTTTTCCATCAACCATGAGAATATTCACTTGCCAGATTTGAATAAATTGCTTCCAACTGCCAGGAAAAAATGAGAGTGGAAAGTAACTTGGATATTAGACCTCCTTCATGGCCAGCTTGCTACCAACTGGTTGACTGATGTCTATGAGAGCATAACTAGGTGATATGCTGACTCCTTGGTAACAGTGCCAGCCATGGATGCAAGCACTGAGCATAAACACTATACCTTTAGAAACAAACTAGATTCATAGCTGACAGCACTGGTTGGTTGGGGTTTAGGTAGCATGATGAAAAGGAATGGTTCTGCCCCCAAAGTTAGAGAGTTAATTCCAATTCTAGCACCAAGTTACCCTTTACCTGTCATGACAGATTCTCCTCTTCCTCCAATCCCCTCCCATTTCTTCAAACCTGCCACTTAAAATATAGCCTGAGAAAAGGGAAACATTCTTTGGCACTTTTAATAGTTTTTTCTACCATTCACACAAACTCACAATAACAAATAGAGTACTGACCCAAACACATCCTCTTCCCCCCGCCCTCCCCCACCAACAACTGCCAAAAGAGAACTCAAAGGATGCAAATTCCAAATAAAAACTTCTAATGTTTCAAGCTGAATGATACAGCACACATTACTTAGTCCAGAGGCCTGGATCAAGTTGGTACTCTGAAATGGTCAGGGAACAAGGTTGAGATACAGAAATCGCTCCTTTTTTCTACCTTCAACTTCTGCCTTTTACTTTTGTGCCTAGGCGAAGCCTTATTTCCTAGAAGACCAACGGAGACTTCTTGCAAGATCGAAGCAGTCATAAAGGTAAATGTAAGCACACTGATAGTAATCAAGTAAGAACAAGAATTTTTGCCTCCCCCAAAATGTGATGGGAGCACAGCAGTCGGCAAGAAACGAGTCAGTTCAGAGGCATCTTGGTGAGCAGCAGCCCCTTATCATACAGCATTGTTGCCAAGGACAGCTGGTCCTCCACACTGTCACAGGGCAGGTCCCCCACTCTGACAAACTCTGGATAGGAGCGAAGCAAGAGTTCCATGGCATCGGCCTGCTGTGGGTATATCTCCAAGCACTTGGGTTCTTCCAGATGATAAACACGGGAGTTTTCTACCGTGTAATAGAGAAACAAATGGCCTCCCTCCCCCACCAGCCGAGCTATACCGTCCTGGAGCATGTGCACTTCTGTTTCTGTCGTCAACTGGGCTCCCACGTTTACAGGTTCTCCAGCCTCCCAGCGAATGGGGAGCCCATAAACACTGAGCGCTCGCTCTCTGTCAGTCAACACCGGGGGCAGAGAATCGTGGATGAAGTCTTTGGCTCGCTGGTCAGCCACTGCATCCACAGGCGCAAAGTGTCCCAAGCGGGCAACCAAGACCCGCACCTTCTCCATGAAAGCTGTTCTCCGCGGATCCTTAGAATCGGAGTGCTGGGCCCCCATGTAATCCATGAAGTCTCTGGGCAGGCCCCTACGAAACTCCACGTTTTCTTCCATGGCAGCCTGCACGGCCAGGGGCAGCACGGCCTCCAGGAAGTCGCCCCAGGTGTTGCGCTGGTATGTGGACAAGGTGAGGTGTAGGGAGTGCACGCCATCCTGGCACTCGGCTTGGTGGATGAAGCCACGAGGGAAATAGAGCAGATCTCCAGGCTCCAGCACCGTCTGCAGCACGGGCTCCCCGAGGTCCTCCTGGCTGAAGTTGGGGCTGGACGTCAGGGCGAGTTCCTCAGCCGGGTGCCGGGGCCGGTAGACGCGCCAGAGTTTGCGGCCCTCCAGCTGCAGCACGAAAGCCTCGATGTCGTCGTAGTGGGGGGCAAAGCCCTGCGAATTGGGGGGGGTGAGGTAGACATTGGAGCCCGCCATGCTGCCGAACTGCTCCTGGAGCACGGCCAGGAACTGCCACACGGTGGACGAGAAAGCCTGGGGGCAGAGGAGGCGCAAGGAGCAGCCGGCCTGGTACAGGGCCCACGCGGCGGCGGGCAGGGCGCGGCCCGGGGGGTTCAGGGTCTCGCGCCGCCCGTTGACGTAGCGCGCGGCGTCCAGGTGCTGCCCGAACTGCACCTCCTCGGTGCGTAGCATGGCGTCCAGGTCGGCCGTGGAGAAGAGGCCCTGGTAGTAGGTGGGGTCCTGGCGCCGCACCAGCACCGCCTCGCGCTCCCACAGGCGCCGGTAGAAGTGGTCGGGCGGCATGGGCGCGATGAGCCACTCGAAGAGGCGCGCCGCCCGCCGCCGGCTGCTGGGGACGCGGTTCAGCTCGGCCAAGACGCGCTGCAGCGGCGAGTCCCAGGGCATCTCCGCGGCCGCGCCGTCCGCGGGGCCGGGCAGGAGCAGGGCCGCGCCGTCCGCCACGCGGGCCGGCGCGGCGGGCGCCTCCCCCAGGCGCGCGGGTGGCGGCGGTGGCTGCGCCGCGGTCGGCCCCAGGCGCCCCGGCGGGGGCTGCGCGTCCCCCAGGCGCGCCGGCTGCGGGGGCAGCGCGCGGGCCGCGGGCGAGGCCTCCCGCCGCTCGCCGGCCCCCAGGTGGCCGTACGCATCTCGCCGGGCCGCGTCCGGGAGCGCCGCCGCGCCGTCGCCGCGGAGCGCGTCTCCGGCCCCTTGGACCGCCGACTCGACTCGCGAGTCCTCCGAGTCCTCGCTGGGCAGCGCCTGGGCCCGCAGCGCGGCCATGCGGGTCGCCACGCTTCTCCTCAGCTGCCGGCGGATCTTCCTGGGTCGCACCGGCAGCGCCAGGACCGACCCGCTGTGGGGCTGCGGCGGGCGCCGGCGCCTCAGCCGCCCGCGCCGCAGCAGCCCGCCGCTGGCCCGGAGTCCGTCCATAGCTGGACCGTCCTCCCCACCGAGCCCGCCTGCCCGGCCCCGCACGGCCCCGGCACAGGGAAAAGGCGCGCGCCGGGCCGCGGGCGCGGGGCCTTCTGGGAAGGGGGCGCGGCCTCGGCGCCGCTGCTGGCCACGCCCCCCTCCCGCACCTCCGGCGCGCGCTCCCACCAGCTCGTGGGGAAGTGCCACCTGAACTTCACTCCCGCGCGCTAGAGCCGCGGAGTTCTTCCTAATTAACAAAGATTCTGTTGTTGGGTGGGAGGGAACGGAAAAAAAATTTCAAATGGGGCGGGGGTGGAGTGATAGTACAGAGGATGGGGCGTTTGCCTTGCACACGGCCGAACTTGCCTTTTGACTTAGCAACTCCGTTCCTGGGAATTTAAATCATTCAAATGATGACAGATAATCTTTATAAGAAAAGCAGTAACAAGATCCAGCTCCAGCGTCTCATATGGCCCTCCGAATAATTCCTGAGCTGAGCGTAGTGCCAGGAGTGAGTTCTGAGCGACCCGAGTTCGGGAAACAATTAGGAGCCCGAGAGATAGTACAGCATAGTACAGCGGGTAGAGCGTTTACCATGCAGGCTCCCAACCACGTTTTGACCCCAGCCCACCAGGAATGATCCTTAAGCAGAGTCGGTTTAAGTTAGAGCACTGATAGTTGTGGCTATGGACTGAGAGAGAGAGAGAGAGAGAGAGAGAGAGAGAGAGAGAGAAAAGGCAGGCTACATGACTTCTGAAAAAGAAGCTTTGAACTTAACCTTGACCTGCTTGTTTTCTTGCTATCTGTCCCTGTCACTGCTGGGAATTGTTTCATTAGATACAACTCCTCTCACCTGAATCTTTCATCTCTTCTGAATCTTAAATCTGTCTCTTAAATCTAGATTTTTTTTTTTAATTTAACAGACACCTTAGTAAGCTAGAAGGTGCTAAAATTGAAAGCAGGGGAGAGTTACAGTAAGTCAGGGCCCCTCAGAGAGAGTCATTTCAAGTTTGATGGCCACATGCTGCCCTAGTACCTTGAAGGTACTAGGTACTAGTACCTAGTACCACCATTGGTTATGGGACCCCTTCTCCCAAAATGTTGAAAATATAGCCACTGTCTTCATTATTTCTTTGTCCATAAAGATTATCTGTCATCATTTGAATCATTTAAATTCTCAGGAATGGAATTGCTAAGTCAAAGGGCAAATTCATTTTTTGTGATGATTAATAGGTTTACCAAATTCCCTTGAAAAGAGTTTCCAGTGTCGTCAGCAATTATGAACATATTTAGAAGACATGGACTCTACGGCCTTTTCTGTGACTCTTTTTGATCTTCAATCCTTTTCCTCAGTCATGTTCCTATCCATATGCTTGCCAAAACTTTAGAATTTACCCTTAACCAGATATCGATCCAATCTTGTATTTCTCACATAATCTAGGAATTCTGGTTCTCTCCACTAGAGGGAGGGGGCAGTATTTTCCCTTCCAAAGGAATGCTCTGGACAGAAGGGATGAGGACCTTTTAATATCTAGTGTAAGAGACCATAGATGCTGCTAAAGATTCATAATGGCAAGAACAACCCAAGCATAACAAATAAGTCCTAGTTCAGAGGAACTAAGAGTAGAAGAGGCAAAGAAGTTCTTGACTTGGATAGGATGATGGCCTGGGATGGGAAATTAAGATAATTTTTGCATATGCCCTATGGAAATTTAAGTGGGTCAGGGCAAATATATCAGACAAGGCCATTGTGTGAGGTCCCACTCTGTACAAAGGTATCTGGACAAGCACCAGAGCTGGGGCTAAAACCAACCGACATTCTTGTCCCAAACCCTGTGCTTAACTCTAGGATTGCTGTGGGCAGGAAGGGGCAGCAGTGGAGGAGTGAGTTTCCTAATTGACACATAGGCTATGTGTGCAGGCAAGGCCAACCCGGCATCAGATGCCCTGGGAAAAGTTTCAGAACACAAATATGTCACTGGCAGCTACAATGGCCTTTACAGAGAGTGGTTTTCAGTAGGCAACAGACACATTCTACAGCGACCTGGTCGGATGTGCAGGGCTTCTCAACTCGCAAAATTAGATACATGCTCAGCTTGTGATAGCACAATGGTAGGGCGTTTGCCTTGTGCGTGGCCGGCCTGGCTGAGCCTGGTTCGATTCCTCCACCCCTCTCGGAGAGCCCGGCAAGCTACCGAGAGTATCTTGCCCCCACGGCAGAGCCTGGCAAGCTACCGTGATGTATTCAATATGCCAAACACAGTAACAATAAGTCTCACAATGGAGATGTTACTGGGTCTGCTCGAGCAAATTGATGAACGGAAGGACAGTGCTACAGTACTACTGCTCAACCCTGCCCTTTACTACATTGGTTTATGGAGCAGCAGTATCTTCCTGCCTCTGTTGACAAAGTGAATCTATGTCACACTACTCAGAAATAAGGTTCTTTAGTCATAGTTGTAAGAATGCTCCATACTTGCCACCATTTCTGCAAAATAATAATGATGGAAAATCCCCAGGCAAACACCTTCTAGGAAAATGTGATATGTTTGGCCATTCTCCACTTTAGAATAGTTGACTATGGGTCTGAAGAACCTACAGACTTGTGGGGCACCTGAGTGCCCATGGATGGAACAAACCCTTGGGCTTCTATGTATTTTTATGATCATTTGGGCAACTCAGACAAAACCTGTGGACCCTGGATGATGGGACCCAGGAGCAGTGTGTCCTTGCCACTGTGCCCACTTTGTTCTCCTGAGTGCTCTCTAAGAATATGTGGGCTGCGAACTGAAATTGGTGCCACTGCCACCAGACACCTGAAAGAGCCCTAAAACAGAGCTGGGCTTTATGGGTGAGGAGGGCCTGATGACACAGACCTCAAGACTCTGTATGTGACTGGGATAAAGAATGTCAGATGCTCCCATGGCTGGTACTCTCAGACCCTGAGACAGACCAGAATCTGCTATCCAACTATGTCTACGACTCATGTGGGAAATACATGAGGTTCTAATGTGAGCCAAGAGAGTCAGATTTTGAATTTCTAGATGCTCATTTTTTATTGGCTAGAGTAAGTCAAAGAACAATTCTGATCAACTACCACAAACGTGGCTTTCTCTTGGGCTCTGCCTTGCTCATAAGGCTATGCTCGGGGCTGGAGGGATAGCACAGCAAGTAGGGCTTTGCCTTGCATGCAGCTGACCCAGGTTCGATTTCCAGCATTCCATATGGTCCCCCAAGCACCATCAGGAGTAACCTCTGAGTGCATGAGTCAGGAGTAACCCCTGTGCATCATTGGGTGTGACCCCAAAAGCAAAAAATAAAATAAAATAAAAAGACTACACTCATGTGTTTCTTTTTCTCCACAGAGTGTGAAGCCCCGTGCACCAAATCCCTGGTTGCAGAGCCAGAACCTGAACCCAAATGCAAGAGGCCGAAGTTACTCAACTCTTGACAAGGACCTGCGCACAACCTGGGAGAAAAGCTTTGAAGCAGAACCATTGCTATTTGATAACCAAATTCTCCCAAACAGGAAAACCTCAAAAACTTACCCCAGTAATGTGACTTTTTTCTTGCAGAAGAAAATTGTTGACAAATAGAACGAGCTCTTCTTTCTAAGACACATACAGCAGTGGGCCCAATCACTCTGTCTCTCTGATTTGTAAAATCTATTTGGCTCGATGTTTATTAAAAAAATAGTTTAACAGTAGACCTGGTGGTGTTTTTTTATCTTTTTTTTTTTTTTTAGGAGTGTATGGGCTAGAGGTCACACCAAAGACTTCACACATGAGAGGCATGACCACTACCACTGTACTATAACTTAGGATCCCTAGGCCTACTTTTTTTTTTAATAATTTATTTATTGGATCACTGTGGGAAAAGTTACAAAGCTTTCAGGTTTAGGTCTCAGTCATGCAAATATCAAGCACATTTCCCTTTACCAATACTTATTTTTTACCCCGAAGAACCCCAATAAAACCCCACCCCCCACCCCTCCCAGTGCCTGCAAGGCAGATGAATTCTAGTTAACACTCTATCTGCTTTGATTAGATTCATTGTTTCAATAAAAGATGCACCACTATTATTTAGAGTTTACCCCCCCCAATCAGACATGCTGAAAAAGCATTGTGAAGTGGTTTGCTTTCTACAGCTGGGTTCAAGAATTAAATGTTGGTTTTGGATTGCCGCTATTTTACTTATTAACCCTGAAAGTATTTCTACTGAAAGTCAGATAATTAAGAGATTAGTTTCTGTGCTCTGGAGTCGTGGCCGTGCCGGAGAGCCACTCATGGGGGGGCAACTGGTGACCTCGGTAGTGCGTGAAGGACGGACCAGAACGCCCCCCTTCCCATGAGGTTTTAGTCGCCCCCAGCACCCGGCTCATACCTGCTCTCCACAAGGCTCCCATGCGGCCGCCATCTTTCTTTCCAGAGAGGAGAGGGCAAATGGGGCAACACCCTTTCCCCTCCGGACAGACATGATGGCCTGGATTAATGCATAGTCCGTTCACTTTTCTGCTCCAAGCTGCTGGGTTCTGCATTAAGTCCTTGTACTTCTGGGGCTGTGGTCGTGCTGGAGAGCTGCTCGTGGGGGGCAACTGGTGACCTTGGTAGTGCGTGAAGGACGGACCAGAACACCCCCCTTCCCATGAGGTTTTAGTCGCCCCCACACCCCCGGCTCATACCTGCTCTCCACAAGGCTCCCATGCGGCCGCCATCTTTCTTTCCAGAGAGGAGTGGGCGAATGGGGCAACACCCTTTTCCCTCCGGGCAGACATGATGGCCTGGATTAATGCAGCTTCTGGGGCTGTGGCTGTGCTCCAACCTTAACTCTGATTTTCAGGGAGAAACGTTGGGTGATTTACTTGCCATTGATCACTTTGTATATACAGAGATGTCACGCGGCCATGGCCGTGCGGTTTGGAGGAAAAGTCCTAGTTCCTGCATACTTGAGCTATGCTTGTAGAGGCTTCTGGTCACCGGGGTTCCATCTGGGGGAGGCGGGATGCAGCACCTACCCCATCTGGGACTTCCCGGTGATCTCGGCTCTT